ACACCTTTGCAAGTTTGACCCAAAAATAAGAATAGAGAGAAACCTTTGCAAGCGCATCACATAACCTAAACCCATAGTACAAATAATACCTTTGCAAGTTCAATCATTAATTTGAAACTTTAAGGAGGCTGCAGAATGTAACTTGATATTAATTCTTGTTATCATTATATTTTTTATTTTTTATTTTCAATTATTAAAAAATTATTAATCTAAAAAAAATCTTTAAATATAACAGTAAATGTGATTTTGTCTTTTTATATAAAAATATTAAATTATAATGTTTTCATTTGGTTTACAATTTAATCAAGACTGCATTGAGAAAAGTCACAGTAAGTTTCTTTTTCCTTTATAAAAATTCTAAAAAATATAACCCAATTATATCAATAATGTTAAATTCTTCAAAATCATATCTATTATATCAAAACAATCTAAATTTTATTACGACAATGAATTTTCATTTAAAATTAAATAGTTCCTTACACTGTAACCTTTCAAACGAAAAGTTTTTGTTAATCAAATGAATTTTTCAAGTTTTCTAACACTGGCTAGTGGTTCAAAAGCTTTTTGAAATAGCCAAAAGGTAATGAAGTCGGTCAACACCTCTACTCCGTTGACCTCCTGTAAAGGTTGATATAATGATAGTCAAATACACATCCTTCCCGTCTGTTGATTTAGCTTTTTTTGATATTTTGTATTTAATAATTAAGAGAATTTGGAAACATATAAGATAATTTTAAATCACACTCTTGCATATTTATAAATTATTTTAATTTTCACATGAGCAAATTATTATTATTTTTAAAACAATAAATATGTACATTTATTTATTTAACGTTTATTTCATAAAATAGTATAAAATATTTTTAAAATATAATAAAGCCTTTTATTTTCTCAATCAAGACGATTTGCTTGGACAGTGGATAACATGCATTTCTTTTCTTTTCCTTTTTTGCTGGATAAAATGCATTTTCTAATCCTATCTATTGCACAAGAATATTAAATTTGAAGCTTTAAAATATTTTAGTAAGTAATTTCATTATTTAAAATAATATAATAAAGGTTGCTTTCATTTAACATTTTCATTTAACATTTTTATTAACACCTTACAGATAATAGGCTTGATCACAAATTTATCCCAGCATTTAACATTTTTTTTTAGTTTTTACAAAAAAAAAAAATATTTTAATTTTTATACCAATAATCATTTATAATTTTTTTACATTTATAAAAATTAGACCAATATCAAATTTGATCCCTATATTTAATATTATTTTTCATTTTAGATTTTATATTTACACTTTATTTTATTCCTTATATATAGAAATTAAGTACTAGGAAAACCAATGTAACATTCCCTATTGAAATTCGAATATAATATTCCAATATTCATATTTTTCGAAGGGAAAAATCAATATTTGAGATTCTTATTTAATTTGCAATGAATTTTGCCAAATATAAGGTGAATTTTTTAGGAAAAATAAGATATACAGTACTGAATTAATTAAGTAATACTCCTTCCTTTTACAAGGTAGTATAAGAGAAAATACAGAATTTTGCCCTACAAATACATTAATTAATTAAAAACTATTAGCTTAACCAATATAGGATTTATTTACTTTTTTTACAAAAATAGTGAAGTATTTAAGTGTTTTTATGTAACAATTTTCAAACACAAATGAGCATTTATTTTAAGTTTTTTAAATAAAAATATAATTTAATCTAGAAAAATGATCACACTCAATCGCGTAGTTTGTGATGGTGGTATGGCCTTGAGCATGGGCAGAGATAAGGGAAGGCACACTGCGAACCCCAATTTTTAATAGTATCATATTTTATTAATTAAATAATTATAGTAATAAAACTAATTAAAAAATTTTCTTGCCTTGTTTTTTTTTTCAATCCTGTAAATATTACCTTTTGTACCATTAATTAATTACTGACGGTACTTCTTATTTAGTTTACCCTTTAACTTTTGCTTATTCTTTACGTGTCTGTTGATTTTAATTTAAATAATATAAAAATTAAACTATTGAATATTGTTAAAAATATTTATATAAATGAGTTAAAACTGTTCATTGTAAAAAACTCAGACAATTTTTTGTATTTTATTTAAATATATCATTTTTATTCAAAGTATAAATATTTTATTGAGAAACAAAATGACAGAACACTCGGATCCATGATGCCCTTTCCAGTATATTTATTTGCGGGATGTGTAAGTAGGTCACGTGGATGTCATGTGAAACTGTTATCTCTGTCTTCCCTTTTATTATCATTTATTTTTTTATTTTTAAATAAAAAAAACGTTGAGCTTTTCAGCGACTCGCCTTCGAATCCTACTTGGCGACACAAACTAACAAACAAAATTCAAGAAATTAAATGTTTCACCTTAGTTTACTAATGATTTTGAAAATAAATCATTTTTTTATGTTTTAAAATAGGATATTATATGAGTGAAAAAAGAGAAAGACAAATAAATAAATAAATATAAAAAGGGTTTGTATAAATAACAAAGATAGTGCTTTAGAGTTTAGATTTATTGCAAAGTATATGTACACATTCAGCATTTAACAAGAAGACACTCTTAAATATAATATATGGCACATCAAACGTTTATAAGTTTAAATTCTTAAGTAGAAAGGATAGCTTTACCTGTTTTCTTCTAATTTTTTCTACCATTTGCTAAGTAAAAGTTAGGCATACCTAAATATTTACAGCTTGTTTTGTTTTACAATTAATATATAAAAAACGAAACTAACCCTTTGAACTGGTTTGCTGGAGTTAATAAATATCATTTCTTGTTGGGGATAGATATACTTTGCAAGGAACTTTCTATGTAATTATATTTTAACGAAAATAAACATTAATTAAAATGCTATAGGAAAAGGAATGGGAAACTGATGTGATGTATCCAACTATAATTAACTCATACCCAGAGAAAGCAAAAGGACTTGTTCATTTGGATGAATGCATAGTTGCATTGAGCAGTCATAAACCCTCCAATTAAATATGGCCAAAGGTGCCTAAAGACATGTTAACGGGTTGGCTTTACTTTTCTGGTCTGCCACGCATTATTATATTCGCTTTCACTTTCCTTTTTTCATTATAATCTAATTAAACTTAAACGTGATTTATGATAAATTAACAAACTAATTAAAATATATTACGGGTATTACCTGTCCATATTGATTACTGAGACACAGCAGCGTGAACTTCACACTACGCAGCAAATGCCAGCATTGGATTTGGCAGCAGTGTGCCGTTGTGGGCTGTGGCACTTGTTGGAAGAATTATGTTATTATGATAATGTCCAATCATAATTAACCACAACTTCACTGTCGCCATTTTTATTTTGTTAAAACGTTTACGTGCAATGTAAATACTCGATGCTGCATGATTATGGTTTATTTATCTTTCTTTTTTTTTCCATATTGATGACATTTTTTATTTGGGTATATATTGAATGTTTTTTCACGATAAATCTGCAAGCACACAATAAAAAAAATCCATTTTTTAAAAATAAGTGGTGAGTTTATAAACTTAAGGAGCGAGTAGGTGTGTATTAGTTGAAACACGGATTAGGAGGCATAAATAAAGAACATGTAACTCTCTCAAAGATTGCAGTGTTACAACAATGATACGGAAATAATAGTTTAAGGTATTATGTTTTTCCGACTGGTAATAATAAATTAGAATCTAACATATCAAATGGTACTTATTTGTTTTGGGTGAAGTGAAAGCCAACTAAAGATTCTAGATAACTGTTCCAAGTCAAACCTTTCACCAAACGGTTAACCTCTGGATTTGTTCGTCAACTCTTACGGACTCAGCGAAAGGGACGGTTGATCATATTTTATTTATCAATTTGGTGAGAATTGCTAAAGTTATTGTTTTGGTTAGTGATGTTAATTGCTTCACGAATCGTTTATTGTTTAAATAGGCTATCATTATTTTGTTTTTCTATTTTGTTAACCATTCTCTTCTCAGATTGATCATATACCAAAATATCAAGTTTTGGTATATCACATCATATTCATATATCACCTGGTTTTTTAAAAATGTAGATTGCAATTTGTTCACTAGAAAAAAAAGATAAAAGCTTTCCTTATCACAAACATTTATAATGCATATGGCATAGGACAAAATGACATGAATTCTTTGCCCCTTACTGTTATTAATACCAATTTCATACTTAAGCTTTAAGCAGACCATGTCATGCTATGCCAATCCTCTCTCTCTGTGTATCAGTACTGAATTAATTAGGAAGCAGGAAAGGAAATGATTACATACAGAGTGTAACACGCAGTTGCCATTACAATGCAGCTCAAGTAAATAAAATCAACCGTTTTCATATGATACATTTATGAATGGCTATCTAGGTACGTACTCTCCAAATCCATCAATTTCTCAATATAATACAAAATATTGAATAGGTTTTAGCTAATTAAGGCTTTAGGCATACATATCGGACCACATAAAACAATTTGTAGATTTTAGCATTAAATCCATGAAATCGAAATATCAGAAAAGCATTCCACCCGTAATTGTCCCCCCAAGCACCGTATTTTGATGTTCATAAACATCACTATCTCGCATTATCCCTTCCACACGCAGTAGAATTCTACCCCTCACTTTCCTCAAAAAATATATTTTTTTTCATAGGAAAATAATAATAAAAGCAAGTTGACCTAAATTAAACTTGAAAAACAAAAAAAAATGTTTAGGATTTGGTGCTTTTTACGTTTTACCATTTTGACCAAACCCCAAAAAGGTTGTGGTTCCCACGTCGGGAGTTTGGCCACACTTCCAAGACCCAAACCAGTAATTTCAGATTTCATCTTACCACAAACACTTTCCGGACAGAAAAGGTATTGAGTGAAAAAATGAAGGGTATTTTAGTACTTTCAATGGTCCCCCGCTGTTTTGTGAGACAATGATTTCCGTTCAAGAATGGCTTGCAGAGTTGGCAATGTCCTTCTTCTCCCTTACCTCACCGATCCGTACACTTCAACCTGTTTTCTCACTCTTTCTTCTCTTCTCTTCGGCAGTTAAGCTGCTCCAATCCACAGACACCCACCTACTTTCTCTCTCTAAAAACTCCCAAATAAATAAAAATAAAAAATCTCTCTCTGTATTTTTTGCGATTAATTTCTCTCTCTTAATTCCTTCATTTATTGCTTCCCGTCCCACACGCACATTCATTGGTTTCAGAAACAGAAGGAAGTTACTACTACTTATCAGATAGAAGGGGAAGGGGGAAAATAAAAGGAAAAAGAAGAAAGAAAACCCGTTTTGGGTTTTCACTGTTTGAGTGAGAGGAAGATGCCTCTGGTGAGATTGGAGGTGAGGAATGAGTTCGGTTTGGGGCAGCCTGAGCTGTACAGAGAGAGTAGCAGAGAGGACCCTAAAGCTGTGCTGGATGGTGTTGCTGTGGCTGGCCTTGTTGGGATCTTGAGGCAACTTGGTGATCTTGCTGAGTATGTTTCTTCTTTCAATATCCAATTTTTTATTTTGGGGCTTACTCAAATGGGTGCAGTTTTCAATTTTTACCCTTATGGTAGTTGTTTGGGAAATGGGGTTCGTTATTTTCTGGGTTTCTGTAGTTTCGAGGCTTTAATGGGGTTGGAGGTTGTGTGTTGCTGAGAAGGCTGGTTTTAGTCGTAACAGAATGTGGTTGAGTTTTTCTTTACACTTAGCCGTTGGAATTGAGGTCTGTTTTTCAGTTTTGGGCCAAATTTAAATTTATAAGGTGACAAAATGCTCTTTGACTTTTGGTTTTGGTTGAGCGTTCCCATTCGAGGGACTTAAGCTTTTTGTAGACTGTTATATAGGTTGCGCACAGCTAGACATAGGTTGTTCCACGAGGTGCAATGGTTAAGACTTAAGAGGAATGAATTAGTCTAAACGTGCTTTCTTCCATTTCTTCTAGAGGTTTTTTCTTTTAACTGAGCTAATTCCGTGTTATACCCCAGCAAAACAGCTTTAGATATAGTCCATAGTGGAAGGAGTATGACTAATCTGAATGCCAGTGTTAAATTTTCCTAGCTTTTGGAACTCCATTACTGATATATGCCACCTACCTCCCCTGTCTTAATCCCTACTTATTTTGTTCGAATTTGGATATAACTTGTTCCCTTTGTACCAAGCACAAGTATTTCTTACCATGATGCTTAAATGATTTGCTCTAACAATCATTTAAAGAATAATAAATCAAAACCTGGGTATATTTTGATTTAAGTTTCAATATAATTGATCTATGGTTGTAAAAGAGTTAGAGTTTTAAGTTCCCATATTTATCTTTAGCTTGTTGGCGTTGTAGCCAGTAATCATTGATAGTTTTGGGCGAAGTAAAGCCTTACTTATGGTTTGTCTCAAATAACATCCCATATTGTGTTTTCATATTTGTTAAAATAAATCAAGAAAAATTTTAAAGTTAAAATAAATGATGATTTCGTTTGTGTTGTATTCAATTTAATCTCTCCAATGCTGACTGTGTCCTTTCATCCAATTCCACCATCTGTCTACATGTTCAGTATGTGCCCCATTCTCTAATATAAATATAATTTAACAGTTCCAGATAATCATGACATTTACTCTATGATTCTTGAAAGTTGTAACCTTTAATATATACATGTGATGAATGTGATTTAATTCAAGTAGTTCTAGTTTTCCGTCTGTTATTTGTGTTGATGTTCATAGCTGATGAAGCTTTTTCAAAACTGTAGTTTTGCAGCAGAGGTCTTTCATGGTCTCCAGGAGCAAGTCATGACAACAGCTTCTAGGAGTCATAGATTGATGGTTCGTGTTCAAAACATTGAAGCTTCCCTACCTGCCTTGGAGAAGGCTGTATTGGCACAAACAAGCCACATACATTTTGCATATACAGCTGGTACGGTTCTTTTAGGCAATGATCTCATACTAATATGTGGATTTATTAGAAATATTATGTTTTTTATTCAGAAGATGATATTTCCTTTCTGAAAGTTAGGGTCTTTGTATTTTGTTTAATAGGGTGTATCTTTACCAAATTTAATCTGAAGAGAATTTTGAAAAGCATAGACTATATTTTTGTCCTAAATCATATAAAGGGCAGCCCAATGTATGAGGCTCTCGTCTAGTGGGGTTTGGGGAGGGTAGATGTACACAATCTTACCCTCAAAAGCGGAGAGGCTATTTCCAAATTCTGAAATGTGGTCTGCCAAAATATATCTTAAAATAAAACTCAAACAAAGACAAAAGTGTTATGTTTTTAAATTAATACAACCTAACTAATGTCATTGGATGTAAATCTTTACTATTTTAGAAGTTTTGATATCATATAGGCATATTACATCCTGAGTGAATCAAATAGAGTAGCTCTTGAGATGGTTATTCCTGTGTTAAGTATTTGGTTATATTACAATCTTCTTAAACATGTTTCTTTGAATAGAATCTTTTAATATACCAATCATCACTTTAATGGACATGCTACCTTTCATTTGTTTGTCTAGTATTATGCTGATCAGGCAGCGGGATCATATTGAAAGTTAGGTTGTTTTAAACATGTTTTCTTTCTATTTCTTTTGATGGTTCATGATATCCACTTTGATCAGGTTTCACTCTCTCTTTTGCATTTTGTCATAGGGAAATTGCTCTGAGAAATTTAATTTGTCTTTGGGTATGTCATAGTTAAAATTTGTCTTTGTTAGCGTGCATGCTCTTAAATTGTAAGGAGATCTCTAAATATTTAAGGTGGAAGTACTGTGGTTGGTTGAGTATTCATGTCCTCAATTTGTTCAATGAGCCAAGGTGCATTGATGAAATAGGAGGCTGATTATTATTGTTGAATATGGTAATCATTTTGTATCCAACATAATGAAGATTATGTATGACCAATATTAAACCTTGTTTGTACCATGTGATTTGTTTGGCATGCATGCTGAATTATGACAGTATGCTAGCTTTACATACTTTTTTAGATAACATATCTATATATTTTATTCTAAGTTATGGATTAATTCATTAAATTATGATCATGGTTTCATTGTTCAGATGCCAACAGTATAGGAGTCCTTAACAAAAAGCAGTTTCCTTTCAGGTTGTGAATGGCATCCACGTATAAAACCTGCTCGAAATCATTTCATTTACAATGACTTGCCTCACTTTATTATGGATTCATATGAAGAATGTCGTGACGCACCACGCGTGCACTTGCTTGATAAGTATGTCAAAATTTCTTTTGATTCTCTTCTCATTTTGTCTTTCTGTTTAAGAATAGCAAGAATAGTTAGGTACTGCAGCTTAAACTAGTTTCCAAGTACTAGATGATAGAAAATTACAGTGTTGTTCAAATTTGGACTGTTACGAGGTATCCCTGTTCTATTTGGTCTTCTCTCTCCCTTCCTCACTCTCTCCTGTTTTCCTGGCTTTGAAAGTGTCAAGTACTGTCAACTAATCCAGCTTAAAATGAGTGCCCTGTACTGCTTAATGAAATATTCCATGTGTCAATCAGATTCGATATTGGTGGCCCAGGATCTTGTTTCAGGCGATATTCGGATCCAACATTCTTCAAAAGAGCATCTGCAGACTGGGATGAATCTTACTCTGAGAAGACTGAAAAAGCAAGGAAATCCCGTAAAAACAAGGTAATACAATGATCCAAGCATTTCTATGTAAAGATTATCTTTAACCAGTTGCATTCCTGCCATATGCATGCATTGGTGTCTTTACCAACAATTGCTTGGTGCTTATATAAATAATGTTGGACAGAAGAAAAGGTCATCACGAAGGAATGGAGAAGTTTTGAGGGGTGAACATATGCATAGCAGTAGTGGCAGGTAGTACATCTACGTGTCTATTGCACACTTACTAATGGAATATATGTTTTTAATTCGAAATCAACACTTACATAGTATATTTCTTCCAGAATGCAATTTATTTCTTCCTCTATCAATGGACGAACTTCTTCCTCACAAACAGCCTCCACAATAGATATGACTATGAAATCAGATCTGGAACATCATTCAAATTCTTTTGATTCAAGGTCTGGTGGTGGCTACATTGAATGTGTTTTCCATCCCAGTAATACTATGCAATCTCATGAGCCAGATTATAAAGAACTATCTTCTCCGAGGTTGGCACAGAAAACCAATATTCGGCATTCATTATCTCCTCATATAGATGATAGTATTTCACATGATTCATTGGAAAAGCAAGTTGCCTCTAGTTCATCAGGTGTTACTTGGGATGAAAAGGAAGAGATAGTGGAATCTAAGAGCCAAACCTGTGATAGAGATAAAACTCCAGAGAGGATTGTGGAAAATCATGGCACAGATATGCATGCAAATGAGGCTGTTACCTTTACAAATGTTGACTACAGTCATGTCCTATTCAATGAAGAAAGCAACCTAAAAGCAGTCTCCAACAGGGTTCAAACTGATGATATTGATAGTGAACCTGATAATTATGTGGATGCTCTTAACACCATCGAATCAGAATCTGAAAATGATATTGATTATGAAACAAAACGGGAGGTGCAGCAGTTCATTTCACACGTCCTTGAAAATGGAGTTACTGAAGCTTCGTCTAATTTATTTGACAAAACTTTATCTGATGTTTCCCAAACTGATTATAGTGTTCCACTAAATAAAGAAACGGGCAAGGATTTCCCTGACTCACTGCAAGAAAATCATCCTCTGGATCTTGTTTCAAAGCCACCTGCATCTAATTTGGGGTCTGTAAGTCCATCAGATGTTCTTGATAGCAAAAATTTGACCAGAGACTCTGTTTCCTTAAACAAAGAAACATTGATGGATTTGCCTGACTCACTGCAAGAAATTTCTCCCCTCACATCAGAGTCACATGCATCTTATTTGGAACTTGCGAGTCCATCAGATGTTCTGAACAATGAAGAGCCGACTAGAGATACTGTTTCCATAAACAAAGAAACATTTGAGAATTTGCCCAACTCGTTGCAAGGAATTCCTCCTGTCACATCAGAGCCACATGCATCTAATTTGACAGCTGTGAGTCCATCAGATGTTCCTTTTAGTGAAGAGATGAGCAGAGACACTACAACCTTAAACGAAGGAAAGTTTAGAAATTTGCCCGACTCATTGCAAGAAATTCCTCCATTCATATCAGAGCCACATGCTTCTAATTTGGCATCTTTGAGTTCATCAGTAGTTTCTCTTAGGAATGAAATAACCAAGAGTATAGCTGATTCGTATACCTCTGAGACTCCTGCTTGTGAACAGGTTCCTGTCACATGTGGAAATTCTGTTTTTGATCACTCAGTATGCGCTGATACCGTTAGTTCTTCTGCTGTTAATGATACAGTGTCAGCTCCAATTGAGACTGGTAGATCATTTTCTGATTCCAAAATCTCTAACTTACCAGATGAAGCAAGTACAATCAGCAACAATATCTGCAAAAATGAAGAGACTCTCAGTGACTCTTTGGCTGATAATTCAGTTAGGTTCTGGACCAATGGTGGATTATTAGGACTTGAGCCATCAAAACCTCCTGACTTTAACAAGTCAACTTCTTTAAGTCAAGGATCATTGAGTACAAAAGGTGAAGCAGATGGTGGTTCACGTCATAATTCAATAATGCAAGAGAGTAATGGTTATAAAGAGGAACGGGAATCATCAGGAGAGGTTGCTGAACAGAATCTAAAGGAACAGAGTTCGAAATTCTTAACATCAAGCCATAAGGATGACCAAGCTTGTGTCTCTGAAAAGACCACTGGCAGTTCTCAGCAGGGATTTGGTCAAACTGAGAGGAACAGTTTGGGGGATGTCAGGGTACATGCACCTGGAAGTGCTCTCCCAGCTGCTGCTGAGCCGAAGGACTGTACTGAACCCGACCATGGAAATGGTGAAAACTTATCACGTGTGTTTGGACTTAGTCGTAGATTATTGACAAATAGCTTTCAACGGAAAGTTTCTTTTGATGAAAAATCTGGCCATTATAATGCTCTGAAGTCTGTTATATTGGAGCAGAGTGGACAAAATGGCACTGTAGGACAGTCACTTCCTGAGACAACCTTGAAAGAGAAAGTTAGTTCAGGATATCCCATAAATTCACTTCCTCCTTCACCTCCACTTGAACATATGAAAATATCCTTCCATCCTGTCAGTGGACTAGAGACATCCAAACTCAAACTAAAATTTCCTGATGGCAGTAATCGTCATGAAAGCCTAAGGGATATGTTTCCTTCGTTCCAGTTGGTCCCAGAATCTTCCATTCCTCGGGATGATGCAGGCTCTCACTCTGATGATGATGACACTTTCTGTAGATCATCTCCTTACATATCAGATGATGATCGCCATAGCCCTCACTCTGACTATAATTCTGATCAGTGGGAATCTGATGAAACTGCTGAAAGCAGTGACCAAGGTGTACATGATTCTCCTCACAAAAGGTCATCTGCTGAATCTGTGTCCAATGACGACGCCAACGTAAAAAATGGACATGGTACATATACTACGAGTGGTGTGGAACAATCTTTATCTGGGCCATTACTTGATTTTCCAAGTTTTGATAATGTTAATCGTGCACTTGAGAGAGGGAATAATAATGATTCCAAATGCAATAATACCGTTGTATCACATAGTCATGCAGAGCCTACACCACCTCCTCCTCCTCCACTTCCTACCACAGAATGGCGGGTCTCAAAACCACAGTTGGATATGACAAATGCGACGCAGCATTTTATGTCTGAAGATGCTGAAAATATTAATGATCCAAGTCTTCTTACTATCTTCCAGCAACCTAGGTTCTCTGAGGTTGAGCAAATCGAAATTAATCACAATGGTCATGAATCTTATGACAACATTATATGTAAATTAAAGGAGAAGGTACTCATTTGGTCTTGCCTCTTTTTCTCAAACATTGCGCACTTGCAACCATGGTGGATATTAGAATCTTACATATTATTCATCTTGTTCAGCCTTCCCTGCAGCTGGATCGGCAGAAGCTGAATGGTCAGACGGAAGCAAACCATTTGAGAATGGGAAAGGAGACAGATGAAAGGGAGGATTTCCTGTATCAAATCAGAACAAAAGTAAGTACACATTTAATGATTTAATACCTCAAAATGGTCATTAAATACTTGAATTTTTACCAACACTGGTTGGTTCAAGTGGGACATAATTTAATTTCTTTAAGTGAAGTCTTCAGTTCACTTGATGTGAATGAAGAAAATAGGCGCTGAAAAAGCTTTTCCCTCTTACATAGGTCCACTGTTTCATCGTCTAATTATTTCTCCAAATTAGAAATGCACATTGGGGGGACTATTTTGATGTATTTATTAGTGGATGATTCATCTGATGATAACTTGGGACCACTGAAATGTAAATTTATTCATGATTTAATAAATGATGAACAAGTAACTATTATGTTTCCACTTCTCATTGCTGGATGGAAAACTAGACAAATTTGACCAGCAACGTGGTCTTGCTAATTAAGTTGTGAAAAGAACAATCATGTTTGTTGTAGTTAACATTTTGCATTGGCTTGTCATTTATTGGTTCAGGCCTTCAACCTGAGGCCCACAGTAACGGGAAAGTCAAATGATACAACCGGCCCCACTGCAAACGTTAAAGTTACTGCAATTTTGGAGAAAGCAAATGCAATCCGTCAGGTATTCCTCATTCCTCTTTCCCCCTACTGTTTTGGTGTCTGCATTTAATATCTAACATGTGTCCTTAATGGAGGAACTTTCAGGTTGTTGCCAGCGATGATGGTGAAGATGATGATAACTGGAGCGATACATAATATATAAATATATATATTTCATACTTGTTACGTTTTTTAGCCTCTTGAAGTGAAGTTGCATGAGGCTTTGTTCTATGTACGCATGTGTGAATAAATCTTGTCTATCTGTTATAAAGTGTAGTGCAGCAGCATCAGCCAGTTTCTCATAGTTTCATTCATTATCATATGAATTCATGTCTTCCTTAGTTTTTGCTTTGAATCTTTGAACTGGGAAATCAGGCTGACCCAATATTATTGTGAGATTACAAATCCAGGCGACTGTTTGTACAAAAGTTCCTGAGAAAAGAAAAATGATAATTATGAATACTTTGACTTTATTTCTAATTATTATCTCCCTTTCAACGACAAGATTGGTCATGTTCTTGTCCAATTTTTCTATCTTGCTAAATAATCTTGAAAATGTCAAGCAAGTTGGAGTGCACATTGCCCTCACCAACCTATTCTTTAGCTGATAATTGAAGGTTATTCTCTTTTAAAGTGTTAATGAGATTATTCAACTTAGTTTTGTCTCTCATGTAACTCGATGTTTTATCTAAATTTATTCATTTATTTAAAAGTAGTTTGTTATTTAAATATCTATTTAGAAATTTTAAAAAAATAAAGTACAATATTATAATAACTCGTCCCAAAATATTGGATTGACAAAACATTCCACTTGAATTAACACTTGCTAATACGGTCAATCGTTTAAGTACTTGTTTAGAACACACTTCTTTGTTATAAAAAAGAATCACTAAATCATCATAACTTAAATGTCCTAAAATATGAGTGAGTTTATTGTTTAATTATTTACTTATAACGCTTTTAAAAGTTTTTAGAAGATTTAGAAGTACAACGATTACATCTTAAGTGTTTTAAAATATAAGATTAATAAGATGTATCGTTTAAATTAATTCTTTCATTTAAGATTGATCTTAAATTTTTTGAATGATAATTTTTAACCAAATATGTTCTCAATTCACTTTGAAAATTCTGAATATCCTTTTCAATTATCATTTTAAAAAGTGTCCTGGGATATATAATGTTGAGAAATGATGGGTTTGAAAAGAATACATAAAAGCCATCACGAATTATTTTTAGAAACAAAATAAAAAAGTCATAGGTCAACGAGGAAATTAAAATTTGGAAGAAAATAAAATGTAACACACATTGGTACTTGTATAATTTCATTTTGCATCAGAAGTATAAATAAATAAATAACTAGTGGAATGAACAATGTGTAATTAATGGAATTCATTTGTGTTAAAATAAAATTATATATTGACAGTTCGATTTATTTCACTACTCATCATAATTAACCAAAGTGTCGAGTTATCTTTTTTTGGGTACTGTTTCTTTGGAGTTCTCTAGTCTCTCAAGTTTTGGCTTTACCACATGTTAATCGTAGTGTTATATATATATAGAACCTTAACCTTTCAGTTGAGTTTAAAGTTTAAACATTAATGGTCTGTGACGATTCCAGGACAGGAACCGGTGGTGGAGCTTGAAGAAAAAGACTACAGTGCTGAAAAAGTTATTTTCCTCAAACAATTATTTTTTAAAAAAAGTTAATTATATATCAAAAGAATATTCTAACGTATATATCCTTATATTTAGTATCGAATTCGATCTTTATCTTATTCATGGTCTCAAAACTATGTTAAAAAAATAAAGAAATTTTAGTTGATGTGATAGCACAAAAAAAATTATTATTTATTAATAAATAAAAAATTATTAAGCATTAAAACAGTCTTTATTAATATGACTTTATCTAATAAAAAATAAATTATTAATATAAAATTTAAAGGTCTCATTGAATAGATAATGTATTATACAAACATGTAAATTATTAATAGTAAATATTAACATTTTAAATTAATAAAATCATATGTTGATATAATATTCTGTTAATATAAACTCACTGTGTATACTTAAAATTTATTTTTATTTTAAAAAATATACCAAGTTGTTCAATATTAGTAATTGATATTTTTTGGTGATGCAATGAATTATGATAATGATTAATGTCATTAACAACTTAACTTTTTCAATAATAATTCATGGAGTGGATACTTATTTTAGTCTCTTAAATTATAAGTATTGATTATTTTAATTTTTAATTTTATAAAATTTTTATTTTAATACCTAATTTTATAAAATGACATTCATTTTACTTCTGATTTTTTTAAAATATATTATTTTGACCTTTTCGATATCAAAAGTTCATAAAATTGTTATAAAAAATAATTAAAATAAATAATGTTAAATATTAAAACAATTCTCTATATATAAAATTAAAGACGAAAATATCAATGTTTACACTTAAAAAAAAAATTGTAATTCATATAAATGGAATTAACAGATAAAAATAATATAATGTTGTGATATGATTTAAAAATAGGATCTTCAACAAGCCTAAAGATTCACCAAAAACAAACTAACCTTAAGATTTAACTTAAAGGTAAAAAAAAATAAAAATACTTAATACTGTTTGAACCTAATAAACATTATCAGTATTTTATTGTTGAATAACTTGAGTATTTAATAGAAAATACATTAAGTGATTCTTAATTATTAATAAAACATAAGCGCTAGCGACATAAAATTATATATATATATATATATATATATATATATATATATAAAATAGGTTATCTATACAATGTAATTAAAACTAAATTAATAACAATTAAATACAAGCTTTATTTTTCCACCTTAAAAAAAGACGTTAAGAGTTTGAATGATATCATAATGACATATCAACCCAAGTTATTAATCAATATCTTGAAATTGCTAATAATAGCACAAACTATACTCACCACAAGAAGATATTTTATTAAAAAAAGTTTGAATCATAAGATTGATTTTGGCGTAGGGATGATTGGTTTCTTCGAAATAAACACCTTTTCAATGCCCCCCCTTCGTTCTAATGCTTGACTTGGAAAAATCCCTAAGAGACCATCATTAATCTCAATGCAAGTTCTTAACGCTATGCTCACTTGTTCTCACAAAAATTGTTTGGAGAATAGCATGCAACAACTTAACCAGGAAAAATGAGTAATGATCACAAAATTCTTCTAGTAAGACAAGTTTTTTAAACATAAGAGGTTTTGCTCTCCTCATAGGAATTTTAATTTAGAGACAAATCTATGCCCTTTCATGTTCATCTTGCAAGATACCCATGGTGTCACACGAGTTATTGTTTTTATAGTTACATGTTAAGATACCCTTTATATAATTTTACCCTTTTTTATCTTATCTTTCATCCATAATATATATGTAAATCATGATTGGCAATTCCTATCCTCCTAAAATCTTTGCCATTAGTCATTCAAAACTTGATGCTGAGAAAGGGGTAGTTGAGGATCCAGGCACAAGCTGAATCTCTGAAGGGTATTCATGTCAAGGTAGAAGATCCTCAATTTGCATTAAAGATTCAGCTTTTATCTCGTGCTCCATCTCCATCGCCATCGATTTGTGAGTACTGCAGCACAACCTTTGTGTCCAAGGGGAAAGTTGGTGAACATTAATATTTCTATTACTTGCTAAGTTTTAATTTACGTAGTTATGAGTACTTTTTGAATTGTTTCTTTAGTAAAAATTAAAATTTTACCACAATAAAAGGTCTATTTTATAAGTTGACGTAAATACTAAAAATACTTGTAATAATACACCCGAGTATACTCTTACTAATGTTTCCCATTTTTCTTTTATTTTAGGATGGCACTTTGCTGGTTTTTTCCTTTGTCTTATGCCTTGTTGCAGTTATCTTATTGTTGATATCAGTCATCATGCATAAAGCCGCACGATATTTTATGATTTTGTCAATGAGCAGTCTATGTAGTGCAAGAATTTTAAGCACGTATTGTATGAATTCTGAGTGGCGATTTTCTATTATTCGATAGATAAACTCTTGAACAGATGAAAAAAGAAACAGAACAGAAATGAGCCACATTTTCATTAAGTTTTGTACGATATTAAGTAAAAAATATAAGTAGTTTACATCAAAGAGAAAAAAATTAAAAAGAAATATAATTAGTTGTGACCGGATTATGAGAACAACAATGAAACTTGTTCTCTTATTCTAATAGAAATAGAAATCTATGACAGTGATTAATTTAAGGTCCGACATAACTTTGCCTTATAAAATTGAAGAGGGACTAAATAAGAGAATGTGTACTGACTGACTTTAAAAGAATCATAACGAAAAAGTGTATCTTTTATCGATAAAGAATGCAAATCGATGCTTCCTAATCTTCATTATAAAAAGGAGTAATGAGCTGGAAATGTGATCACTTTCCAAATTAATAATATGAAAACTCCTTTAGTAAAGAGACGGCGTATCAAAATATCCTATAAAACGTTGCGTACTAAAAGGGAACTTGACCCACAACTAAAAATTATATTTGATGGCAAAGGAAGAAAGGCAACCAGGTGCATCTAAATCTTTTTATAGCTATTGTTTTATGAATCTAGATTCTCTTCGGTAGCTGAACTCTGTCAAGTTGATTTTACATTTTTATTTAAGTAAAAAAAATTTACTTAAGCTAAAATGTAAAATTTTACTTAACTGGATCGTCGAGTTTGCGCTAAAACAGGAGAGAATTTCGGTCCTTGATTTATTGTCTTAAAAAGTTCTTAAAACTATGTTGTCAGATATTTACTGTTATTAAAAAAAATCAAGTATCATATTTTTAAATATATTTTATTTAATAAAACTTTTTAAAATATGCAGATACATTAAAGTTTCTTAAAAAAAGTCTATTGGAGCCTGGAAAGTTAGCTTTTTGTATGAAAAGTACTACCAAATGCCATTAGGAGCATGCAACTTTAACAATCAAAATCCACTGAAAAAAATTACTTAAAATCTCATTCGTGACCACCGACCTACATGGTTCTACTGCCTTTTTAAAAGGCACAAAAAGCCAAGCCTAGATCACTTAATTGGGGGCATCCCAACTCACAACTAGAGTATAGCTTTTAAAAAAAATTTAAATTTTTTAAAAGAGTCACACTTTCAAAATTTCTATATGTAACTAAAATAATAAAATTTTAATTTTTGTACTATAGATGAAAACATATATTTTTATAATATTTCAAAACTAAAAACCAATAAAATTTCTACATTTTTTTAGTAATGTAAGTTCTTTTATGGCTAAAATATTTCTTTATAATTCACTCCCACTTTAAAAAAGGAAATATAATAATAATTAAAAAGAATTATTGAAATGTTAACAATTTTATATATGGTTTAGGGTTTAGGAATTTTTAATAATTAGTGTTATATTTATCCTTTAAAAGGTACTTTAATTTTAAGAAAAGAAAGTCAAATATAAAATCTTACCTTTTATATATAAGAATGTTAATTTCAGATTTTCCTCTAATTTAGTTCTAGTCATGCTGTTAAGTTTCTTGAAATTTTACCATTTTCATTTCTTTTAAAATAAAGTAATTACAATAAATGCCATTTAGATCTAAACTTAATATATTTAATATATATTTCTTTTCATTTTTCAGTACTTAAGTAAAGAGTTTTTAAAGGAAACTATATTTTACCCATTTAATCTTTGATAAAGATTAATATATTTGCTTATAAAAATTGTTAATCTCAAATCTTAAAGGTGAAAATAATCAATTAATAATAGTTAACCTTTATGGAAAGAATAAACATTAATTATTCTTTTATAACTTTAATCTAATAAATATACTTTTCATAAAAATTTTATATTTTAGAACGCTTAAACTTAAGCTTAATAGTTAAGATTAACAAAATCCTTAATTTATTAACTAAAACTTTTTAAAAAGTATGAAAATTGTTAAAAAATTATTTTAATAGTTAAAACTTTTAAAAATTAATTTTGACACATAATTATAACCATAAAGAACTAAATTAATTTTTTTCTTTAAATAAACTAAACTTAAATATAGTTTTGTTTTTTCACCTATTGAGATTGATGTTGTATAGTTTTGTTTTTCCAAAAGTTAAGGCTTTATTCTGAAATTGACTTGACTAATTTATAATTATATGTTGCAGTGTGTGACTCACGCTCGAACGGATTGCAGAGGATAGCATCACCCAATTAATAACTCATCTAAACAAATATTAACGAATCATTCTCTACAGCTTTTGTGGATATTACTTAATTACCTGTTATGGTCAGGTAACTAACATCCTTGTTTAATTTCCAAACTTTCAATCACAAATTTGCAATTTGCATCAATGCATGTCTCAAAGAAAAATAATTAATATACAATATTCCATTGTTTTTCCTCCTTAAAATTTTTTAAAGTAATAAATTATACTCCATTAAATTTAAGTTAAATAAAAGATTTAAATTAAGTATAAAAATTTTAAAACTTACACTGATGTGAAAAAATTTCAACCCCATGTATATATATCCTTTTTGGCTAGCTTATATTATAATTTTGATCTGACTTACTTTTTTTAAGTAGAATTTAAATGCAATAAGCTACTTCTCATCTTCCCTTTTCTCTATCCATCTATAAAATAGTGATAATAATATATTGTCCCTTTTTTTTTGTCAAATTAATATCGTCCACCTTTTACACTTTGTAAGCGATCTACCTGGATTGGGCCAGGTTGTATGTATACTCCATAGCAGTGCATGATCTTGACGTAGACTACTGATGTGTACAAAAAGCTCATCCATAGCTTTTCTATTCCCCTCAAACCCTTTTCCCTTTTCTTCTTTTCTCCTTTCTTTAGTTTAATTTGGCAACCCACTTTATATCCCACCTACGTTTTGGCGTTTATCACATGGATTTTCTGCCAAGGACCCATGGTTTATGATTGTACTAACTACTAAGCACTTTTACCTTTATTCCCCTATGCATATATAAAAGCACTTTCACAATCTTTCCCTCTTCAATCCCAACCTAAAACCTTCTCCACTGAGAATAATCTCTCTCTCTCTCTTCTTAAAATGGCTCAAGTACAAAGTAGTCAAGACAGTGAAGGCATTAAGCTATTTGGGACAACAATTACGTTGCATGGTAGAGAAATAAAGGAAGAAAAAAAAGAAAGTGAAGAAGGGAGAGAGAAGAGGCCAGATAAGATCATAGCATGCCCAAGATGCAAGAGCATGGAAACAAAGTTTTGTTACTTCAATAATTACAACGTTAATCAGCCTAGGCATTTTTGCAAGGGCTGCCAGAGATACTGGACAGCTGGTGGGGCCCTTCGCAACGTGCCGGTGGGTGCCGGCCGGCGAAAGGCCAAACCACCGTGCCCTGGTGCCGACGGGTTTGTGGATGGTGCATCCACCATCCAACAGTTCGGTTTGGATGAGGGGTTGGTTTTGGATGAATGGCATGTTGCCACCGTGTCTCATGCTGATTTCCGGCAGCTTTTTCCGTCCAAGAGGCGGAAGACGAGTTCAGGTTGGCCACCTTGTTAAATTCTCTCTTCTTTTATTCTTTGTTTGCACCCTATGAACTTTTTCAGTTTAATTTTACTTTCTCTTCTATGGGTATATAAAATTTGGTCGTTGTTTTTCTATGTATTATTTCTAAATAAAAACCCAACAACTATAACAATTTATCAATAAAGATAGGGTTTCGTTAACTAATCAGTATCTTTAAGATACTATAATTAAGAAATTAATAATATTGTTTATTAAAAAATGTTATAAATTTATTAAAAATAATGAAAACTGAATTGTTACTTTTTTTGACTGACCTAGTTAATATTTACCATAAAAATCAACACTTACACTAATTGTTACATATACGTATTGGAGGTGACAACCCTAAAACTACCTCTTGTCCTTTTTTTTTTATTAGGCTCTTCTACTCTCACATGATCTCAAAAAAAAAAATGAAAAAGATGAGAGAAAAATAAGCAATCCTTTGATAAATTTCATCTCATTAATTAATTCACATAACCATAGCGATTTCATAAGAAAAACGCGTTCTCATTTGTGAAGCGAAAGTGTTTATTTGACATTTTGCTTGTCATGTATAGAGGAAACTGTGAGCTAATTTTTTTTTATAAATTAAAGACATGAAAACTTCAATATGGAACTCCCAAATTTTCCAACTTTCCTGAATACATGACCAAATTAAAATAGCGATGCCCCAATTATTTTTTTGTGTTGTAGGAAAATAAGAATTTTTGTATATATAATTAATATTTGAGCATCCCTTTCTGCATATTATATTAAAATGTTATCAAATGGTCAGAAATTATCTTAAGAGAATTGGTTGTTAATTAATGCAGCTCAACATGAATGTCAATAAATGATCATCCACGAAATCACAGAACATCCGAATCAGATACAAACAAAGGACATTGAAACTGTGCAGTGAAACTCTAAATCTTATCTGATTATGAAGATGTGAATCGCTAGAAAAAAGAAAAGGGCACAGCCAATGAATAGAGATCTTGTTCTGGCTATTGGAGACGTGAACGGTTCAGATTATTTCTCACCTACATGCCTAGCTAGTTCATACATAATCTACAAAATTCAAGTACCTTAATTCATTTGCTTTGACTTGCGATCCGCGAAAGCTACATCGTTTGATGTAAACGTAAACAGAGGAAATGGTCAAATCATGACAAAGAAAGAGAGAAGTTTATATAAAAGTACACATTAAACACGAAAATTTGAGTGCAAATTGTAGTTTATTTACTATTATTTTTTTTCTCTTTGCTTTGAAAATTAGGGAATCTAACCCTCTTTTATACACAACTTGGCTCTAAAGGCCGGCCAAAAAGTTTACTCTACGTAATCAATATAAATTTAAGAAAATAGTTTGAATTTAAAATAAAAGAAAGATTCCAATTTTATGTTTTATAATGATAATTGTGGTCAAATAATTGTAGCCTCATTAGTATTTTATTTCCACTTGTTTCATTCATTAAACAGCTTTTGTTCGATAGACGGAATATTATTGATTTGATTAAACCGTTGGAAACAGATCATTACCCTAAAAATAAAAGTTAATTAGCTGTGTACCTAGCTTCATTTGATATAAATTTAATTTATCTTATAAAAACTAAATTATTATTATTTTAAATCTATGTTAATAAACAATATATATCGATCAATCATACATATTACTTTTTTATATCATATTATTGAATTATTTATTAATATAATGTATCTTAAAGATATATATTTATAATATTTATTATTAGTAATTTCATTTTTATTAAATTAAGTTTACATTAAAGAAAATAGGTCGAATAATGAATGATTAATATATGATTTTTTTTGGATTAATACTTTTATTATTTTAATACATTGCATCTATATATTTAAATCTATGCTATTATTGGTGAAATTCTATCGTTTGATCACAATTTTATTTTTTAAATAGAGAATTGTAAATGTTTATGATCTATCTTTACTTTACAGTGCATTACAACTCACGTGTGCTGTAAAACGGGAAAAAGAAGGGTAGCAAACCCAAACAAATTGCTGTATGCTGGATGTTGCTATAGAATTTTTCTTCAATGAAAACACTGTATTATGTGTCGGCTAATGTCAAATTTTTAAAGAATGAAAAATCATGAAATCAAAATTAATAAAATTAAATATGTCCAAAATTATAGCTTTAGTAATATGAATTATACCCAATAGATTAACTTAATTTTCTATAATTTTAATCTAACTCTCTCTTAGGTGATCCAATTTGAACCTACTGTAGTGTCAATTCTCCGTTGTAGCTTATTTATAAGAAATATTATTTCTTCCATTAATGAAGTATCCCGAAATTTGACTCTAAACCTGGCTATTAATTATCATGAGAAAACAGTTTAGGCTTTACTCTGCGTCTGACATATTTTCTAAATTAAAGGTTCGACTTTTTTCTGCTTACTTGCTGAAATAGGTTTTTTTAAGTCCTAGTAAGAACCTTAATTTGATCCAAAAATTTGTTTAAAAGTCTATTTTATATTAAAATTTATTAATTAAGGTTACGAAAATAATTCTAAATAGGTTAACTAATGAATCTATACTTATAAGTAAATTAATAAAAAGGGGGGGGGGGGGGGAAATAAGACAAATTGAGATAAGCTTTGTAAGTACTTGGCCTAAGTTGACTCAAGAAGTTTGGTCTAATTAATAAGTCAACATAAAAGCTTATTTTATGAAGATTTTTTAAATAAAATATTACTTTTAAATTAACTAGTCAACCTAATGACGTGAATCTTACTCTTATTTATTGAGTCTTACTAAGAAAATTAATAAACTTTCCTAAAATATGAAAAAATAAAGTAAATATAAAGTTAAATTACTATTATACTCTTAGCACTTCAATTCTTAACACTTCAATGCTGTTTGAATAAACAGTGAAAGAGAGAGAAAATAAATAAAAGAAAATGAAAAAAAGATAAAAGATAAAATAAAAAAAAGATTTAATGTTTTTAGATGAGCAAAAAATAATTATAAAAATTAAACTAATTTAAAAAACGTAATTTTTTTTATTATAATATTTTTCTTAATAAAAAAAGTTTTCAATTTTTTATATCATATAAATATTTTTAATAAAAACAAAAAAAATTAATAAATAACACTTATTTTATCACAATACTAAAAACAATCGATTCTATTGTTAACTTTTCTTCCCCTTTTGTTCACCGCTGGACTTTGAATGCTTTGAAAGAGCCAAGAGAAAGTTGAGAACACACATCCAAGACGATATTTGAACATTGGAGTCGTTAAATTTATATTTTTTTGAAGGTGAAATATGCTGATTACACGAACCAGCAAAAGGTCAATCATCCAAACCCTACGAACAAGAAACAGCCAAAGGATCCATTCATATAAAGGAAGCTTCAAGGCTTGGAACGAATCCCTCTCCTTTAACACACACACACACACACATATATATATATATGCATGTATATGATCATCATATAAAAAAAAGAGTTAAGAAATTAAGATTAATCCCTCCTTTAAGTATTGATTGGTTAATCTATGATGAAGTTTAGTTAATTCAAGCGAGGGTGCCATCATCAAGAAGTGCAAGCTCTTGGAGAACTCGAGTGCAAACAGGAGACGATCCTTCTTCAAGAAACCAAGAGGGTTTGCAGTGCGAATTGGGGACACAATTCCATTGTTCTTGGTGAGGCTGATTCTTGCAGCTTGTTTCATGTGAGATTCTGAATCAACATCTCCACAGTCATCTCTGCTACTCTTCACAAGCTTAACCTCGCAAGTTTCCTCCTCCTCATGATCTCTGTTAAGACGTCTCACGTTAGTCTGGAATAGAACCAGAATACTCCTAAATACTAAGGTAGTTCTTCTCTTTTAGAAGTGAGTTAGGCCCAAATTTTTTAACATGATATCATTGTCTATTCAATTTTAAAGTTAGCTGCCCACATATGTCCAGTTTTGTTTAGTCCACCTATGCAGACGTCGAGTCCTTGGCGTGAGGCGGTGTAGTCCTCAACCTTGTAGGATCCACTTTCATCAGTCACTGCCTCCTTGCTGAATGTCACGTTGCCATCTTCAATTTCCTTGCACTCCACACGCACCGTTGCACCTTCATTACTATCGCATTAATTCTTTATCACACATATACAACATGCAGTAATATTTAGTTTTTCTATCTTCAATAAGAGTTTAATTATGTAAAAATTCTAATTATATACAATGTTGTTACGGGTTAAATTAAAAAGTTGAATTATTTATATGTAACATGCATGAACTCGCTGGCCCTGGTGAGGAACTGGGTGCGGCATGTGTCACAGTAAACAGTGCCTTCAATGAAGAAGCGGAACCAAAGAAGGACAAGAAACAAAGGGCAGAGGCAATGATGATGATAGACTTGGCCATCCTGAATCCTTCTTTTTCTTTTTCTTTTTTGGGTTTGGATGGAGATTGATGCAGAGGAGGATTGTGTGCAAAGGATTGAAAGCTCCATTTTATGCCATTAATGTTCCACCATTTTCAGAAGTGTCTGTGAATTCTGAGGTTGTCATTTCTTCCTTGGGTTTCTTCTGGGGGTCAAACAAAATTATTTGACCCGCTCGTGCTTATTTTTATACACGTGTCTTAATTAGTTTATTGATATCGTGTTGAGTAGTTTAAGAATGCAAGTCGTTATATATACATATATTAATAAGTTTGTTTATATAAAAAAAAGAATGTAACTTGGATTTAATTAATTCTTAGAGGTGAAGAGTGTTATTTTAAAATAAGAGTAGATGGGAGTGTAATTTTAAGTATCTTTAAAAGAGAAGTGTTATTTGCCAAACTTTGTACTCAATAGCAAACTTTCAAAATTGACGTTTATTTTCCCCACTTGAGTATATAAAGAAATTCTCTCAAGCTGCTGCAAGTATCATCAAGCAATAATACTACTTATTTTTTATTTCTTTTAATGATCTTACTGTGTTTTTTTTTTTTTTCTATCAAATGAGTAGCCAAAATCTTGCAGGTGTGTAATCTTTTGGACATTCTTAGGAAAAACAGTATTAGGTGTCCTAGACCAGTTTCTTGTAATAATGTGTTAATTTTGGAAATTGATTAATGATACGGAATTTACTTATACGGAAGTGAACGACACTTACTTGTTGCGATATTCTTTATGAAATTTATTGAAGAATGGTTTTGATTCTCTCTTCCCTTTTAATGGTTATGCATAACTTTATTGATTTCAAATTCCTGCGTTTTTGGTGCAAGTACTTCTCTTACTATCTAGCATTACTTGAAAAATATAAACAACCGAGGATACAGAGAATAATATTAAATCAAAGTATTCCAATCAAAGCTAAAAGTGTCTTTCCACTTTTTTTATTCGATTTATCTATGGTGTCTACAGTTGTGTCCCATAATGGTTGTTGGAAGTTATATCAAGCCTCCTTTGAAAATTAAAATCTCGGAAAAAAGTACAAGTTGGGATAATGTATTCAATCTTGCAATAATATCATGGGTAATACTCCAATTGAACACTAAGAAAAATACGGTGATAAACAGCAGCCATAGATGTTTCCACATTCCATGATTCACACATTTTGGGAACAATGATTCGCATAATTTTAATAAATTTTATCTATGTAAAACTGATGAAAGAATGCGAGGTAGCATCCTTTGGGAAAGATGTGAAGTCAAAATGAAGCAATCCACTAAATTACAGCCAAACCATCATGTAATTTCAACTCCAGTCTCCACTAGAAGAAAAGACACGCATAGAATAAAAGAAAAGGCACAAAGCCCTAGGGTGATTTTCTAGATTTCAACTTCATGTTCTATTACAACATCCTAATGGTAAACTATCAAGGGTTGCAAGAGACTAGTCTTCTCGTATGCACACCACAAATTCCTGCAAATATATCTGCTTCACTTCATTGCAAAATGTAACTTTGTTACGTTCAAAAAGTAAAACGCAAATACCATCTGCTAAGTGGGTACATAACCTACCTATGCATCTTCACCACCAGCAGCTCGGGCAGACTCCACCTTTTGTTCCTCGGCTGTTCAAAAAGGAGATATTTAATTAGCCAGGGAAATCAAGGTACCAAAGTTGGGTTGGCAGGAAAAAATGACAAATAAGGAAAAAAACTGGAAACTGAAACAAGGAATAGCCAAAATTGAAACTGCTAATTCAGTATAGGAGACCGTATCTATATACTATACACACACACATCACAGAGAATCTTTAAAGAAAATGCTGAAATCCCCGCAGCATACAAATGCTGTATCCAATAACCCTACCCATGTTTATGCATCCTACGCTAGAAACAACTCTAACCTAATTTCAATTCTACATTAAACGCTAAACAAAAGAAAAATTATATAACCTGAACTCAGTGCACAAGTTCAAGAAGAACATCAATCTCCAAAATTCCTAAAATCTAAGTCAATCAAAGTCATATATATAAACCCCTGTGATTAACTTCAAAATCAGGGTAACAGGTCATTTTTACCGTAGTATTTCTCATTATGACAATAGTATCAAATAATTCAATAGGAGTAGTGGAGAAAGGACAAGTAGTAAAACATGAAGCAATGAGATTAGATGCCATTGCAGTAGCCTGTTTTATTCAATATTATGGAATTTTGATCAACATGGGATTCTTCAATTATTTGCAACGGAAGAATGATGACACTTCCTTCTTGGCACAAATCAAGATCTAGTTCCCTGAGTTATTATCATTTCTTCCTTTGGACCTTATTCAGAGAAAGTAAGGATCTTTATCTAGTCGGTAGTAAAATGTGTTGCACCAACAATGACAATCTCAGACAAATAAACTTGTGTGACAAAAATTCCTTCACAGATAAACATAATATCAAACAAAAGGACGTCACAATAGCCACGGACAAACAACCATACAAACATAAATCATAACAATGCCTATTATACCTGAAATGGACATTTATCAAATAAAAATAAAAAACTTGATATATTCCACTTCTGTTGCAGAAAGTCCAGCTATCATAGTGATAAGTAACATTAATTTCCATTAATGCTTACCTCCATCTTCAGGGATGTCAGAAGTCCACAAGGTGAGGTTGTCCCTCAGAAGCTGCATAATAAGTGTGCTGTCTTTGTAAGACTCCTCACTCAGAGTATCCAACTCAGAGATTGCTTCATCAAATGCCTGCTTCGCAAGGTGACAAGCCCTGAAATGTGAGAAATATGAGGAGTACTGTGTTAAAAAGAGCCCAACTTAGACACTAGTGCATGAACAAATAAGAGGTGCGGCATTAAATAATAACACAGTCAGGAAAATAAAGATAAAGGCACACCTTTCAGGGGAGTTCAAAATTTCATAATAAAAGACAGAAAAGTTCAAAGCCAACCCCAATCGGATTGGATGCGTAGGAGGTAACTCAGCCTCTGCTGTAGTGGAAGCCATCTGCAATATTTAGGAATAGTTTAGATTAACATGAACTGGTGGAAAAATACTCGGTAATCAACAGCCAACTTTGTATTGGCGATGCCTTCATCTACTGTCACACCAGCAAAACCGATCATAGGTAGTCATAGGACAAATATAAGATATTGAAAGTCATGCCTGAATAATAACACTACTGTGTCCCCACTCCTTTTCCTCTCCCCAAAACTTAATGAAACACATAAAAGTAACTGCTCTGCTTATATTCATCTCTTTTTTTCACAAACAAGCACATATAAACCTCAAATCTCGGCTAATTTTTTCCTCCCTAACAAACATACAATCTTAGTGATAAAGAACCATAGAATCAATCCTTCAAAGTTCAAAGTACATATTCAGTGAAGAGTTCTGGCACACAAATCAACTACAAATTGAGATAATAACACCAACACAACAGATATATATTAAGTTATTAACATTGAAGTTGAAGTTATTCCAATCACTTGATTTGTATTGCAATAATAGATTGTTGAGTGTTGACGATTACCTTCAAAAGAAAATTGAAAAAGGACACGGCCAATAAAGTTAGCACTTTTGTCAGGGATTCAATAATTCTATCCGATTAGTCAAAAAGCAATACAAATAGTCAAGACTTGGAATTAAAAAAGGAATGGGGAAACACCGAAACAGAAATATATATTCATCTCTGGCTTCAGCTACCAGCCTACCAGAGACATGTCAACCAACCACAATCCACAACAAATACCACGAATTATCAGACGTGATTGGTAACAAATATCAAGACCTTCTAAAATTTAAAACACACAGATTCAAGCGGTTTGAACACAAGCAAACCTGGTATGCTTTCATAGAATTATCGGCAGCCTCCTTTCTCTCATCACCGGACTTGAACTCCGCGAGATACCGGTAATAGTCCCCCTTCCTGCAAACCATGAAGGAGAAATCAAAACAGACGAAATTTTAAATTCTCAGTGAGAAACAGAGAGAAAGGTTTAGAACAAAAGTGACTCACATTTTGTAGAAAAAGACACTAGGTTCACCAGAAGAACTGGAGGGAATAAGGTGTTCATCAATAACAGTCATGATATCACTGCAGATATTTGACAACTCAGATTCCACTTTCTGCCTATACTCCTTTATTCTCTTCACACTCACATCGTTCCCTTTCGCTTCTTCCTTCTGCTCAATCGAAGAAAGGATCCTCCACGAAGCCCTACGAGCACCCACAACGTTCTTGTACCCAACCGATAGAAGGTTTCGCTCCTCAACCGTCAATTCAACGTTTAGCTTCGCCACATTCTTCATCGCATCCACCATTTCTAACACACGCAAGCGTGAAATTCTCACAAATTTTCTCCAGAAAATTCAAAACCCCCATTCCAATTTTCGTCTCAATTGAACCATGTAAACCAGAAACAAAAACAGAAACAAACTATTTTTCAAAAATAAAAATATTTTCAAATGAAACATCAAGTTCAGCGCAGTGGAGACTCTCAAATCTCAAATTCTCAGAACGGAGGAAACAGAGGAACCACAGAGAGAAAAAAAAGTTATGAAAAATTCGAAGCAAAGAGAATGGATTAGAGAGAGAGAGAGGAGACCTTCATAGCGCTCGGCTTGTTCAGCGAGCTTGGCGACGTAGACGAAGTTATCGCGTTCCTTGGTGGAAGCCATGGCTACTTTCTCTCTCTCTCTCCTCTGAGTTTCTCGCTCTAGAAATGATGTGTGTGTGTGTGTGTGTTTGGATCCCAACTTGAATGAAAGGGTTTGGTTGTGGAGGGACACTGAGACAGGCCACGACGCCACAGTTTGGTCGTGGGGGAAGGGGCCTCTTTCCACGCGCTCTTCCGAGAGTGCTCCGCACGCTTTTACATTTTCGCTATTAGTGGGACGTTGGTGATGGTCACGGCGGTGGGTGGAGAGTGAGATTGGAAGGGAGGCAAATTGATTGGCGTTTGGTGGGCATTGAAATTTCAAATTCACTTTTTATCATTTGAATATTAGGGATCGTTCACACGCAAACATTAAAAACTACTCTATTCATTTCGAAATTTTTACAACTAAGAAATGTACTATTCATTTAATTTGATTTTCCCCTCTATTTTATATATCCTTTTTTTTTTCAACATTTTATCTATCCTTTTAGAAATTAATAATACCCATTTTTACATTATTGTTTATTTAAGTCATTTTTTAAATTTTAAAATAAAAAATTAATTTTAAGAAAATGAATATTATAAAACTATCAGAAATTTATTTTTTATCTCACTTTTTTACAATTTTTTTTCATATTATCTATAACATTTTTTTCTCATTTTCTTTCTTTAATCTTCTTCGCACTGTCTCGTATGATGTGTAAAAAATAGGATTACTTTGCAGTTCAAGTGATTTCGGTATATCAACTATTTTCAATAATGAACCCATTTTTTTTAAGAGAATTTATTTTTATTTAAATTTTAAAAATAGTGTCCCTGTTTAAACTTAAAAAATAATAATTTTTTAAAGCATTATCTTAAGCTTTGTTTATTATATTTCTTTCTAAAGATAAAAATATATTATTATACTTTAGTAATAATATTTAAAGAATATTAAAAATAAAAAATAGCAAAACTAAAAATATACTTGATTAAATTTTTAACTTATAAAAATATTTCCAAAATTTAAAATTATAGAAACCAAAGTAAAAATAAAAGTTGATAAAATAAGTTATAGATACTTTTTAAATATTTTATAGAAAAGCGACAAACACACCATTTCTTATGGGAATGAAAATCATATAAAACCCAATCACTAAATAAAAATAGTTTATGTGTTTTTATATAATTAAGACTTATTTCTTTCATTTTTATATAAAAATAATGTTTTCACATGGCCACTATTTTTAAATGAAGAAAGCTATTTTTGAGAAAAAGAAACTTTGATCCAAGTATTATGCAAAGGTCAATTGGGTTAGATAAGGTTGGACCATGAGTTCATAACTAAAGTAGCCACCAAACCCATGCGTTGCTTCGGGTCAAGATAATTGAAACAGCTCTTTGTCCCTATCCAATGAACACCCTAAGAAATTAATAAACTATAAAATAGAACTTGGTTTCAACAAACTCTTCAATTTTTAGCATCATGGAATAATATAATTAAGCTTATACTGAAAATAATTCAACAAACGTGAATTTTATGGTAGTAATTCAAAACTTTTTATTAATTATTAAAATTCAAACGTATAATTTCTCCTTGTTTATTCAAATCTTCCCCTGTTAAGTTTGAACCCAGTTCAATAAGCTAGTTGTTTTAACTTTGGGTGAGTGAAGCACCACGCACAAAGATGGCGTTGGTACGAATGTTTTTTTATGATTATTATGTGTATATTTGATTTTCTTTATTTTTTCGTTATAGAAATAACTCTTAAACTAGAACTTTTAAAGTTATGCTTAGAATAGATTTAGCTTATCTAAGCAGTTCAGAATGGGCAGCTTAAAATTGGTATCTTTAACAAAATTTAGAAGAGGAATGTATAAATAAATTACAAGTTATAACTATAAACTACAAATAATTATTGTATAGACATCGCAGCAAAAGTTTTGCATCACAAGACTATGTAAGTAAATTAGGTGAGAAAGTAGGGCACCAATCAATTCTACAGTAGAGAGAAAGCTATCGCTATCCAGCAACTTGAAGAAAAGAAACAAAATTTAAGTAAGATACTAATGGAGTTTTATATTTAAACCATCCCATTCGTTCCTAATCCAGAAGAAAAAAGAGAGGAGAATAAGTAATTCAATTAGATTAAATAAATTCTATTGAATTTCATTCCATTTCATCCTCTTTCTTTTTTCAAAATCCATATAGCATAATATAATTTAATCTCATTTCATTCTCTTCCATTTCACCCTCTTCTACCAAATTCATGCAATCAAATATAAATAATCAAAGTTCAATTTAAACAATATCAATCTTTACCACTCATATGTATATATATATGATCAAGATTCTATCTTACTCCATGCTTTCACTTAATGTCATGTGTTTTATTTCGAGAGTTTTATAGTGCAAAACATTGAAATAAGGCTTGATTGTTGTTGTATAACGCAAAAGAGTCAAAATAGAAATACAACTAAAATATAAATAAATTGCTAATTTACTCCATGTGAAAAATGATACACTCATGTTTAGTCTATTTTACTTTTTTCCAAGCACTAATAACCCTTCCTCTAATAAAAATAATAATAACAATATCTCGGGGACTAACTGTTTCCAATATAAGGAGTGTTTAATTCTTGTCGAAGGGAATTTCCATGACTAACTGTTTGTATATACGAACTTTTCCAGTTAACAAAGAAATAAATGTTCATTGATCATGTAACACAATTTTAGGGATCGAGTTCGTGGGCATGCAGCTGCCTAGATAAGGTTAAATTACCACCAACTGGCCAGGCAACATGAACATGTTTGGCTGCTGAAAATAAAATGAAAATCGAAAAAAAAAATGTTAGATAGTATCCAAATTAGAAAAGTCTTTTCGAGAATGAAAAGGGCTAATTTGAAGATTTTGGGTTATTTTTATTATTTATTATCACTCTTTACAGAGAAACACCTCTCTAATTGAAATTAATTCTCAATGTCACAAAGACGAACCGGATTCTAGAGGCTACTGATTGCAATTACTTCCAGGAAGCCATCTGACAAAATATAGCCTTCATTTTTACCTTCCCTTCGCCTTAAACAATGTGTTCTGAAAGTTGAAGACTCTAACACTACACTCAGCGTTAGGTCAGTTAAAGTTACAAATATCACATCTAACACGGGTACTCGAAAACCGCGCATGGAATAGTGGTCTGGATTAATAACAAAAATGGCAACTGCACGTCTTGGATTATAGCAGAACAAGAGGAAGTTTTGTACATTTTTTCTCCTTTTCCTTAGTGTTTGGTCCAAATGAGAAGCTCGGAGGAAGGCAATTTAAGAGGGATGTGACACCTTATTTGGAGTGTAAGAAAATGGAAAATAAGTTAATTGCAATTTTAGTTTTATAATTTAATCATTGTATAATCTTGGTCCCTTAATTTTAATTCCTAACAAAATTAAGTACCATGCCATAAAATTTGCTAAATAATTAATATAAATATAATGAAAATATAATGCAATATTATATAAATGTCAGAGGAAAAAATACATAAAATAACCATAAAAAATTAATTCAAACAGTAAACAATTCGGTATCTTTTAAATAGGTCTTAAATTTGAATTTATGCAAAAAATAGACTCACTTATTACGTCTAGGTGCTTGACCTAGATCATATCCGAATTAAACTAGATAAGAACAAAAATATATATATACAAAATATAAAAATAAAATAAAATGTACCAAATGTAATAAAAGTTATTTTTTGTTTTCTTGAGAAATTGTGAGGACTAAATGCAGATACTTAAAATAAAAGGACCAAAATAAACAGATTAAAGTATAGGGACTAAGTATACAATTAAACTGAATAATTTACACTTATGGTAGACACCTAAAACCATTAAACCCAAGTATTCAAACTAACAGTATCTACTCCCCCCTCCCCCCCCCCCCCCTCCTCAAAATCTCCGCAGTATTGAAGGGAAGGCAAAAATGGGAGAGAAGGGATTTTGACCCCTTTATCAACTCTTCAAATTTTTAACCAAACAAGCTATTTTTAGAAAAGTCACTCCTCTTCCATTCTATTCTAACCAAAAAAAATATTAATAAAATGTTGAGATTGTGGCTCAAATTTGAAATTATAGCCAATTAAATAACATTTCAAATGCGCGCTCCTACTTCTTCCAAATAGCAATAAGAATCACGGCTATACCAGTCAAATTAATACACAAAAAGCATGTTTTCATAAGTATAATAATGTGTATCTCTACATAGTTGCATCATAATCACCGTTCAGAAAAATCTGCTATCATGGTAGTTAAAATTGTGATAATTTGGAAATTTTTTCATGCCTCAATGATCCCAATCACATCTGTAACTAGCTTTGCTAGTATCAGTAGGATCAAACAATTTTTTCGATCCTACTCGAACTTGTTTCTTTTGAAAAAAAAAAAATCAACAAATCTAATCTATTATTAGTTGACCCATTAAATTAAAGACTTTAACTCATTTATTTTAGCACTTTTCTTCATCATTGTTTTTTTTGCTATATGCACACGAAAGTACCAACCCCCCTGGTTTTTCTACTCCTGGGTTTGGCACACTCTTCACTTCAGCTCATTTGCTTCTAGGTTCAACACTTGGTTTATTTTCTTAAAGGTTCAACTACTCCTTGCTTTTGTTCAGTTGCTATACTATTTGGATCCTGGATTCAAGTTTCTAATCTCAGTTAGGTTACACTCCTCTAATCTGTTTAGCTATATATAAATGTCTTTAAGTGGTAAAGCAGCTGCTAGGGAGGGTAATGGGAATTCAGGTGCTGCTAGAGTTGGAAGCAACTAGGATGCTGCTGTTGGTGGGGGTTCTAGATTTGGAATTTTTGTGACTTACAAGTTTATCGCTGTCAGAAATTCAAGCTTATTTTGCCTTGTTTTCATTAACTATTATGCATATAAATGAATTCAAAAATCATTTTGAATTTTAGGTAAAATCTTACAATCCATATTATAGTTACACGATTTACATATTTGCCAAACCTTTCTTAAAAAATCTCGATTTTGACTATCTTGCTTGCTATATGCTTGCATGAACATATGTTCATAATAGAACATTGTAATTATGCTAATGAGTAATGAAAACTAAAAAAAAAATGCTTTTTCTTCATCTTGTATAGTGTAGTTACTCATGTCTCAGGCAAAGTGAAATTACATACACTAGTTACAAGCTAGCAGACAAAATTGATGATGCTTCTTGCTGTCTTAAGCTGTCAGCTACATGAGCAATTACTCCTACACCAGCGTTGTGAAGCCATTCATTTTTTACCTACAATCGAACAAGTACTCGTGTTAAAAACTTTGTATTTGTAATACCACCATCATCCTATTGCTTTAATGGATACCGTACATGAATGTTGTTATGAGCAAAAAAAGGCCAGAATGCTGAGTGAAAGCTGACATCAACTTTTTTCCATCCCAACTGCTGTAATCCCCGTATCATCTCATCTGTTAAAAATATTAGTGGGTTTAGGGGAACTTCAGTGACTGAATATTTAATTTTGCTAAATCTCCAGTTACTCTTGGCAACACAAGAATCACCTTCTATAATCTCATGATATTCCACAGTATTCTGAGTACTGGGCGCATTCTGTACTGCCTCCTTTGCTTTCGCTGCTTTTGGAGGAAATTGAGGGCCATCAGAAGGGACAGGAGGACAATATTCCACATCAACCACATGTTTGTATCCATCTAATGACTGGCGAGGAGGCTGCCAATAAAACAGAAAATGTTAGTTCCCCTTCTATTCTAAATAATTTATCCTAATTTTTAATACAAAATCTGCACTAAACAAGGATGACAGCATTTGCCACTTTACCCAACATTTAATAGTTGTCTCCAAGTTTGTAATACAGTAGCTGACACTAACCATCTAAGATCCAGAACTAGCACCACTCACAACATTTCAATAGCAGTACCAATCCCTTTGATCTGCCATTTTTCTTTTAGTTTCAAAAGGATTACGTAGACATTCATGAACAACAGTATTGCATGAATCAACTGATACAAATAAAACAAAGATCCCCTACCATGTTTTTCTAGATAAAGGCTTTCTGCTTATGCTGACAGGTAGTGACTCTGCAGTGATAGGAAGTTCCAATTGGAATTCCTATTAAGTAACTATGAAGGTTTACCAGAGAACACAGTGCAACTTATGTTTTTCTATTTTTTAAAAAGCTCTCTTATTTAACTTCTGTAAAACTTAAGAAGATAAATTATTTTTAACTTATAAAAAAAGTTTTATTCATTTTTAATATTATTTTTATTTTCTTATAAGGACTTATCCACAAGCTCACCTAAACTCGGCCTTAGTATTACATAATAAACTTACATATTAATTATTGGAGATTAATAACCAACAAAACCCAATCCACAAGGGAAAATCATCATATTCACCTTACTGAGCTCACTTTCCCTCCTTATAGAGGATGTGCGCCAACCAACCATATCTATATTAAGTTAAAGAAATTACCAAAATTGAGGGAAAATGAGCCAAAAGTTTATCATAGATATACCTAGCAAGTTGTAAAACAAGAAAACAGACTGAGAGGATACGATCATACGAAACATTAGCATAAATCATGCGCCATCTAAATGCTCCAAGTGCAGATCTACAAAAATATTAAAATTTATAATAGATTCCTTAATTGAAAAATAGGAAGATAAAGTATAAATAGATTGCTTTACTTACAGAAACTTTCCATCTTCACAATCAGAAGCCATTCTCAATAGAAGAGGTGGTTTGTCGGGTTTGCCATCAGTAAGGAACAGCTGACTACCTGTCTGACCAACAAAAAGAGGAGCTATAGGTGCAGCAAGCTTTTCGAGGATTGGCACACCCAGCAGAAATGGAAGCTGAAAAATATGCATAGCAAACAGTCAAAACTCTTATGGCCAGTAAATTTTCAGTGTTGATAGATAAAATAATGAATATAAACAACATGATAAAGAGGTGCATAGAATAAAAACAGAAACAAATATTACAGTAATATTTATATTATGCTTGTTAATGAGAAAATTGCAGGGCTTTGATAAGTTAAAAAATACCTCCAAATAAACTAGTTTCATACATTTTTCACAGAATTTCTACAGTACTCAAGTGAACAAAAAATGTTACTGAAGCAAAAAGGGTAGCATACTGCTCAAGGCACTAGAAAGCTAAAATTACTCTCAAGTAGAGCGTGTCAAAACCAAGAAGACAATAATTTATCATAAATAAAACACTATTTTTATGTAGGTCAAGTGGCAAATCATTAATGCAGAGCACCAAGACAATTTCAAGTTATAAAAAAGCAAGACCACACAAATGTGATATATAGATTATCCAAATAAAAATCAATATATAGCAAAAAACATCAGAACAATAATTTATATTCTCCAGAACAGACCTGCTTTCTTCCCCTTACGCCAAGATGTGGAGTTGCTAAAGTTATAAAATTGATTGGTTCCAACCCAGCAATCATCCCTCCTCTGGAAAAGCTTGTTCTCGGGGAGTTTTCTGTCATGCTGTTTGCTAGATCACCCTGCTGATCCCTATTATAGGTATCAGGTGAATAAAGGACAGCAATTGCATATCTAGCAAACAAGCCTCCTAAAGAGTGAGATAGAAAGGAGATTTTTTTCAGGCTCTTAGTCTTTTTAACAACTTGCAAGACCTGTTTTGATGAAAGGCAATAAACATACAACATGAATCAATTCAAGAGAAATTCAAAACTATCAGAACTGAAATTGGGCGTTCAAACTTTGGATACATGAATTTGCATGTTTCAGAACTCACTTCATCAGCTAATCGCTTTCCAGCTCCATCAATCCCAGTAAACGTCTTAGTGTAAGCATTTGATGAACTTACTGCACACAACAAATAAATGTTAAGACTTCTGCTAGACAAATAATTTTACACTTGTGGATGAGGCACCCAAACAATACACAACAAATGTTATCTTATACAGATTAGGCTTTCTATTTTCCAAATTATACAAATAGACTTTCCCCTGCATTAACTTGGGAAAAAACAAGTAAAAAGGAAGAACAATTGAGCACAGGCAAGTTTTACTTTAACTTGGCAGTGTCCATCCATAATAAAGCAGTTCGTGTTTGAGTTGGCCAAGGTATCTTAGTCAGTTGCCTCCTATAGAGCAGTCATTAAAAAATTTTAATGATTGTTCTCATGTTCATCTTTTTTACCATTTCTATTTTTTCTTGTGCATAGCACACACAAACACAAATATTGGCCATCATATTCAAATAAAATCTAAGATATTTGTGCAATTTCTTAATCAAACATCCCATAAGTAACAATTTAATCTGAAAAACTAAGAACAATGTGGTTCAAGGATCAAACATAACATAATGGGAAAAAGACACCCTTACTTGTAACTTTACAAATAAGCTCAATTTAGAGGACTAGAGTAGCATTATGCAACATAATGTAGACAACCACAAGTAAAAAACATGTACTAACCATAAATTAAAAAGTTTTTTCCCAGACGCCTTTTCAACTCTGCTTCTGCATAAGTCCAGTCCCCTGTGCTGTATCACTAAAAACATCGGTAAAACTTTGAACCAGACTAAACTTAAAAATACACAAATCCACTTCATATGATCAACATAGAGAAGAGAGTATATGTTGGTTAGACACCCATCAGCCCAAATTTGCAGTGAAATCAACTAGTAAAAGTGTAAATCTATGAAAGGTATTTTTAACTTTTCCCCTATCCATTTGCTAAATTGTGAGATTATTAGTTGAATCAGATTTATAATTGAAAGGCAAGCTGGAAAGGGTACCAACTAATCATAAACAGGATGAAAACCATAATCCTTTTCAGCTGAACTTCAATAGAGCACCCAACTAAGACAGCATTAAGCATGTTAATTTCACTTTTCACCCATAGTTCTTAATAACCTTCACTCACAGTTAACAAACATATTCAAACAATTTTTATTCTCTCAATATAAACATATTATATACCTAGCTAAAATACCATGAACAAGAACAAGGAGATGATCAGGGTCGTTCTTCACATTCCCTATGCTGGCAAAAGATTTTCCACCAGTGACAGTACTCATAGCTTGAGCTCTAAGGCCCTGGTGTCTCTGTCCACTGTTTGTACCTGCAAAAGTTCATCTACCAGCTTTAATGAAAACTATATATACTTGCACCTATATGAATACTATTATCAGAATAGTAGGTTATAATTAGTCTTAGAGTTTGAAAGCTAAGACTAGCACTATTACTTCACCTAATCTTTAGTATAAATAGAAGTATTAGGCTGTGGAACTTTATCACATCTATCAAACATATACTTAGTAAGCAATTATTTATTCACAAGTCGCAACCGTCTCTCTCTCTTTTCTCTCCTCCCTACATAAACCTTATCATTCCAACAGTGCTCTTTTACCTGGAAAAGTACAAAAAGAAAACAGATAAAAGATTGACAAAGAAAGAAGATGGAGAAAGTACGCCAAGGATATAACATGAATGTAAAAAAAATGTTGCCCAATGCACAAGGTTCCCACCACTATGACGTCTGTGGAGCAGCATATGTATGAATCTTAGCCTAAAGATAAGATAGGCTATTTCTGCTACTAGAACCTACTGTGACTATCAATCTTATTATTGTAGCAAGGCTGATGGGAATATTCAGGGGAATGATAATGGGAGTAGTTATGACAAATGCCCAAGACCAATAAATGTGTGTCTGGAGGCGGCGGGTAAATATAGGAAAGGAGTGAGTTGGTTATGGCACAGCATAGAATTGAGTTGTTAGGAAGAGAGAGGATTTAAGGAGCCTGTTAGATGGAATATGGGTTCTGTGAATTCATCTTTCGAAGTTGTAAGCGCAAAATTGAGCATAACACTCCTTAGTTTTTCGTTCCAGTTTTCTCTGTTTTCCCAATAGGAAGACAATGTTCCATCTTCAAATTTTGGCAAAGGACATAAGCACGCGAAATGCATAATGTACACACTTCACAATTCTTAAGATAATTCTATAAAGCTTGGACAACCCCCTCCCTTGAGTTAACTTTTGGGAGGTTAGGCCCAATTTGTTTCTAAAAGAAAAAGGGGCTACCTACAAATGTTCATTTTTTTAAAGCTTGGACAATCCTCTTCTTTTTAGCTAGCTTTCGGGAGAAGTATTGTCCAAGCTTATAAAGTTGTATAAGGAATATTTTAACCATATTCCTAGCAAACGTGAAAAATCTTAGCAACCACATTTTGTGTAGATTAAATAAACAAATAAAACTCAACACCGTGGATACACAAAAGAATGCTTTGCACGGTGTTTAACTTTACACTCACTCCCGAGGGAACAAATGGTTTGATATTGCCTTAATTGAGGATAATGAGTTAGAAAAATGAGACATGTACTTTTAATCCGAAACAGTCCTAATTATGAGAATGAAATGTTGGATCATTAAGAAGAGCGTAATGAAATTGGTTAGGGAATGAAGAAGAAATACCAGAAGAGAAAGTGAAAGCGGAGTTAGAAGATGAAGGATGAGAAGAAGAGGGTATGGAGCCTTGTTGCGATTGCGAGGCACTCTTGCTGCGATTGCAAATTCTGGGCGAGTAAGCATAGCGCGCGTGAATGAAGGGAGCCGTTGCCATGTGTCCAAATATAAATACCCCAATCCCTTATTCTCTCCTTCCAAGGCAAACGGCACAAGCGTTGGGCTCTGTTGTTATCTTTTCGACCAAATCACACCACTGCCCATACATACCCTTCTCTTTCCTCTTTGCACTTCAAGTTTTGGTGTCTCAGAATATGGATTTCGTGGGTGGGAAGAAGCCAATGGTGATTTGTTAAACGACATCACTTCTATTAAACGACACGCAAAGCAAGGATACGGACGCAGACAGCGTGGCGTCACACCACACCAATCGGATTTTCATCTTCTTTTTGAGTAATTTCTACGGTATCCAAAATTTGACACCACTCGCTGATACGATGACATGTGTACAAATATCATCCACGTCAGAATTTAGTTTTAAGTTTATTCATTTTTTGTTACTGAAGACTTTCAAATGGCACATTTCAAAATAACCATAACTTTCCTTTTTAACAAATCAGAAATCCCTTTTACCCCTTTAATCCCTAAAAAGTAGCTTATCTTCAAGAATATAATCATTAAAATAATAATTTAATTTGACATAAAAATGCATATAAAATTTACCTTATCTTCAAGAATGAAAATTTTTCAATTTTTTTTTAAAATATGATAATTATACCTATACAAAGTAAAAAATGATGCAATAAATAGTTGTCTCTATTTAAGTGAGGGAATCGTGTAGGGATGGGTATTGTTTGGTTTTCTATGAAACCAAACTCCTTTTGTTTATGGGGAACTGTTTTTCTTTTTCAAAACTAGTTTAGATTTTGGCCAAACTAATTTACGAAGAAAATTAAATTTGGATCAAACTGGTTTTTAAATATTATTTTTAATCAAAATTTTTTCGAATTTGATTTTGAACAGGTTTAAAATAAGTTGAAAAATCAATTTTGTATAAAAAATATTTAAAACATGTTTTTAATTGAATCAATTTTAAAAATAGTTTAACCTTCTAAACCGGTTTGGTTTGAAAGTGAATTTACTTTATTTGACATTTTAATTAAGGTTTAGCTTGGATAATAGTTGTTTTTTGTTCTGTTTACAATACTTCAATGTTTCTCTGGCTAAAAGTTAACATGATAACAAAAAGACTAATAATTAAGAGATAAAGTGTTAATATTTTTTTAAAATGACGTGAAGGATTTCCGATTTTATTTTATTTTTTGGTCAACCATCGATTTATGGTGACGTTTCGAATTTGATTTGTGAAGAGTGAGGTAAGTAATGTACTTTTGTGCAATAATTGAGTGGATGGAAACTATTATTCTTCAAAAGAAGATGGCAAGCCTTATAAATGAGTGTTGAATATTCACAACAAGGGAGACATAACTTTTCATGAAAAAAGATCAGAAAGGGGGAGAAAGGAAAAAGTATTGATCAATGTTACGTGAATTAGGTAAAGAGACACTTGAAAAAAAATCACCAAGTGTTATACAATATCAATAACATAGAAATATTCATCAATAGATTAAATTATACAAGTAAACTTGTATGTTATATTTAATCTAGAATTTTAAAATTAGATATAATTAAGTATTTGATCTTTCTAAAAGTTGCATAATTTAGATATGATCTTTATAAAATATCTTGTTAAGATATATTTTTTACTTTTTTTACATACTATTATCTTTAGTTTTTTTTACTAATATTATCAAATATCAATTTTTTTAATTAATTTTCATTAATTAGATGGACTAAAAACAATAGTTCATGAAAAAATAAAAATTACATGCTAATAAAATATTTTATAGAGATTAAATCTAAATTGTGTAACTTTTAAGGACCAAATACTTAATTAAGTCTTAAAATTATTAAATTATAAATTTTTATTACTTACATGTCACTGGATTTCTTATTTTTCTATTATAATTTTATGTAAGGTTTAGTCATTTATATTTATCATCTCAACATTAAAGAATGAAAAGTAACATAAATTCATGAAAAATAATAATATATTATTGTCATAGTTTTTACTTTTAGTACATTTTTTTTATTTATTAATACATTTTAAAAAAATTAAAATCCTTCATTAATGCGAGAAGTTAGAGCATTCCTGTTATGGACCATTTATGAGTGGTCCCCTCGACCAAATAATTGTCATTGTCATTAGTATGAGACTTGGTTTTTCCAATAAATTTCTAGTTGAATTTTGTGCTTATAAGGACAACACTATCTTCGAAGTTTTGTAGGGTCTTGCACAAACTGGGACAACTTTTCCAAAGATAATACAACCGAGTTTGAGTTCAGAAAGCCATAATCGGTTTATTTTTTAGTTGGATTTTGGTCACATTCATGTTGTCCTAGTTTATGTTGATGTCTGTTAAAAAAAATCACAAACTAATAAAAACAAACTAATCGTTAAGTTTATTTTATTAATATAATCTTCAGAAAGTATAATTGAAATTGTTAATATAAATATCACGAATCTACATTAATAATATAATAGATATATTATTAAAGTTGATCCTCGGTATTATTAATATTAATAGTTTATAGTTTTTTAGCCAAAATTACTACTAATATTTTTCATGATACTGTATATGAAATTTTTATATGCAGTGATCATATAATATTTTAAAAGATAAATTATGCCATTTTTAATTAATATTTAAATTAATTTTCTCTTTATTTTGAAAAGTTGTCCTCAATTTCTTTAAGTGAATAATATAAGCTATGCTTTTAGTTTATTTTAATGTAAACATTTCTTAAGGACATTTTTCTATGATTTTTATATCATTCACAATTAATTTTAAACTTTTACAATTGAATTTGGGACTTCAAGAGAAGAGATAAGCACTCAAAAGTCCTTAATTAGGTACTGTGCATATTAACTAAGTCAATGAAATATTGTCCAAGTTGATAGGAAAAAGTCAAAAAGCTCATGACATCATCAATGTATGTTTCACATTATTGAACAAGCATGAGGGTTGTCATCGCTGAACATGGACATGGTCTTCTCATCAATCATTGTTGCACCAATTGGCTTTCGGTAATAGCCAAAGTCTTCACCATTACTATACCCGTGCTTGTAATAATTGTAAGAAGTGGAAGGCTTGGAATTAGAAGCAAAGTAAGAGTTGTTCTCATAATTATTGGCGTAATGGCGTGTGAAGCCATGGTACTCTGGGTTGTATGGATATGGCCACAGCTCTGCTCTCCTACCAGTCTTTCTTACTGTTTTCAGCACCTTCTTTTGATCTGCCCAACCCATCACAGTTACTTTTTGCATCTTCATGTCGATGTCAACACTATCAACTCCTGGTACAATTTGTTTAAACAGTAGGTAAGGATAATCCCTGTAGATATTGGACGTACATACCGTGGCATAATGTTGAAGTATAAATCTGTGATTAGCACTAATATAAGACTTATAATGCACATCATTTCATAATATAAAAAACGATTCGGATAGATTGAAATCTTAAATTATTGTTAGTTTCTTTTTTTAACTTTTATAAATTAATTTCTAAATGAATATTTTAATTCGAGTTTTACATTAGTGTCACATATTAGTCTTACATAATGTTTTAGTAATTCACTCATCAAACTAACTATGTGCAATATTGAATACTGGAGTTTGAATTTTAATATTGTATCTCAAGTATATAATTAAACATAAAATAGAAACTACATATTATGTTTCATTCCATTCTAGCGTGTCTACTAAACATCGTTAATAAAATTTTAATAGAACACACATATACCACGTAATTTCTTAAGAGCTTTCTTTATCTTGGCTTCGCAGCCCGCACAATCCATGTGCACACACATCTCTACTATCTGTAAAACACAAGAAATAAACAAACGGAATCAGTAGTGATAAACAAAAAAAAATTAACCATATGATCAGGACAAGAGCATCTGCAATTATATATATATAATGTACATTTTGTCATCTCAAGTACTATGTATGGATATTATCAAGACTATAGCTCTTAGAAGTTTCAGACATATCGAATTAAACATTTTTTATATGGAAACAAGCTAGAACATTCGAACTTTAAACTTCTATTCCTTTCAAGTTAATTAAATTTGAATATCAATTTAGATTATATATGCCTATTTAAGTTTCAAAAAATTGGTTATGTGGTATAGTTTTTCTTTTCAACTTCTTTTTAAATTTAGCATATAACTTCTAAGGAAAGTACTAAAATAAATTTTCTTTAATTTATATTAATTATTACTATTACCATTATTTTTTAACCATATATTTTATTTAAAAGAGTAATTTCACTTTAAAAAAATAACTCAAATAACCGGACATTATATATATTGTGACAATAAAAAAAATTATCGTTAATTATTGAAGTTTTACACATATATATGTGCATGATGATGCAAAAGACATAACAGCCAGGAACTTCAAGATGAGAGTATAGACACAATTCAAAGCAGTGGCAAAAATAAGTGTTTCTAACCGTCATTCTTTCTGAAGTGCAATGAGGATGAATGATATAACTAGATTATGTCCTGTTTGTAGGTGGCAGCATAATGATCGGTGAACCTTTATATTGTATGAGTGAGCATCAGCAAGAGCATTAATTAAGAAATACCACATAATTAAGAAAGCATTCTTATTTCACGCGTAGTCTCCACGGAATTTTCTTTCTCATTTCTTAATTTTCTGCTCGTAAGCAAAAACTTAATAAGTGTAGACAAAGTTGGAAATTGCAAAGCAATTGCGTAGAAAATGGGAGGAACCCTTGAAAGAAACATATATATTGACGGAAATATATGTCACCAGTTACCAAAGGAAAAGGACATATATATCCCCATCATCACTTTATTTTCACTTGGTACGTCATTAACTATGATTGGATGATTATACATGGACCAAATTTCATAGGTTAATGGAACCTTATCACTATATTTTATTGAAATACAATCTTGACTATTTTGCAACTTCAAAATGGCATGGCGTGTGTTTTTTTTTTTTCCAAGTTTATATCGCAGGTGTTAATCCAGAAGCTTCCTACGAAGCTATGGCAGCATGATATATATATATATATATATATATATATTCTTATGTGACAAGCTCCAAAACTGAAGTTTGCAAGGCAAGTATCAATAAATAAACCGAAGGGGGTTGCCGCGTCGGCGAGTTCCTTCTGTATATTATGTGCAAAAAATCTGCTGAGAATGTGATGTGTTGAAAATATGTGTGAAACACTAGTTCATATATATCTGACGAAGTCTCTTTTGATACAAATGACAATTTCCTAAAAGAAACAAAGATACAAAGGTTTAATATCTATATTGCTCTTTATTTGTAGTATTTAATAAGATAGAGGTCAGATATAGTTTCCACAAAAACTCATTTCTGCTTGATGATAGCGTGTGTCTCTTTAACTGATGTTCAAAAGTTTCTTCGTCAAAAGATTTAATTTGGAGAAAATTTCTACCAAAATATTAATTCATTTTAAAAGTGTGTGGAATTTTAATTTGTTTCAAATTATTCTCTTTCTTTTTAATATATGAATCATATTAAACAAATAAATTCATATATTAACTAAAGCCTGTCAGGAGAGGAATAATTGAAAGGAAATAAATTCTACTACGAGATCTAAAATTGTATACTCATGGCATACCCATCAAATTAATTACCCAAAAATGATATGTTGAAAAAAGTATAAAGATACTCATTAAATTTTTATGAATTGTGATGATTATAAAAAAATTCATTTTCAATTTAAGACAAATTCTACTGCCAAATGCTTATCAATTTGTGTTTCTAATACAAAAACTAAATATAATTTTGATTTTAGTTTTTAAAATAAATTTAGTTTTAGTTTCAATTTTTTTAAATTTAATACTTTTAGTTTTGAATTATTACATGACTAACTAAGAGGTTGCTATGTTTTGATTTTTTATGTCACATGTGAATTATTTGTTATGCCGCCTAACTGAAAGAGACCAAAAATATTAATTTAAAAAAAAAAAGAACTAGAACTAAAAAAATATAAAATTAATTAAAATCTCACAAAAATAAAAAAATTAATTCTAAATAAATAAATTAATCAACCAGTGTGTTACTAATAGAGAACACTTCGTTGTCGACATGAAAACATTTAATTAATAACATTAACCGGCAAGAACTTCATCAATGAAGCGCTTTACTTCAAAGACTAAACTAGGAAGAAAAAACAATAAGCACACTTTTAATCACACGCCATTAATAAGAAAGATTAGGTTTGTTCTGAACTAATTGGAAATTCTTGAAGAAATCCAAGTGGTAAGCAATCAAGCAAGTTACAATGAATAGTTTGATATCAGTGTACGGACATCATTACCATCATTTATCATCTTAATGTGCATTATCTTATACTCATTAATAGTGCAGCCAGACCAGCTCCAAGAACCGTGCAAAACGTTGAGGAAAAACAAATTCAAGGGAGATACCAAACTAACAATGGATGTCAAATTCCAGAGAAACGACAAGCAGAAATAGCATATGAAATTGAGTTAATCCTAAGAGTGAGAACTTAAGGTTGTGGGTAACTACTACTGAATTTGATCACAACTTCACTCTATTTCCGTGATAACATCTAGCTCTTGGTTCATACGTCCAGTGCCAAATCTAGCATTTGTTCTATTAGCAGATGTAGAGGCAAAAGGATTAGGAGGCATCTCCAGATTCTCTCCATTTCCTTCCAGCATTTGAATCACAGCTTTCATGGTTGGACGATTTACTGGGTGCCACTGAATGCACCAAAGTCCCACAATTGATAGCATCTTTGCAACTTTAGTGTCTTCTCCTTCTATGTGGATTGTTATCTCTTCATTGTTCTCAAGAAGATTATAAATCCATTGTGGATAATAAACTTGGTTGCTATTTTCTTCTGTGACATCAGTGACTTTCCTTCCTCCAACCATTTCTAGCAGCAACATACCATAACTATAAACGTCTGATTTATAGGATACACTGCCAAAGTTCCTAGAATATACCTCTGGTGCAATGTAGCCCAAAGTGCCCCTAGCTGTGGTCATTGACACAATACTTTGATCCTTGGAACAAAGCTTGGCCAAACCAAAATCAGATATTTTGGGTGTGAAGCTGTTGTCTAGCAATACGTTATGAGGCTTGATGTCAAAATGGAGTATTCGTTTATCACAACCTTGGTGAAGATACTCAATTCCCTTTGCTACACCAAGAGCAATATTCTGTAGCTTTTCCCAACCTAGAAAAACATCCTTATTGTCTGCTGATGATATGAATTTCTGTAATGAACCGTTTGGTAAAAACTCATACACCAAGGCTCTTCTGAATCCGTCTGCACAAAAGCCAACAAGGCGTGCCACATTGACATGGTGAATTTGACACATTGCTTCCATTTCATTGATGAACTCTTGACCGTTCCCCGTTGAAGTGTTTAGGACCTTAACAGCAACCTGAATTTCATTTGATAGCTTCCCTTTGAAGACAGTTCCAAAAGCCCCCTGCCCCAGTTCTTCCTTGAACTGATTTGTTATCCTCTTTATATCTGCATAAGAGTATCTGGCAGGCTTGACTGCTTTGTAATCCTCCAAAAACTTTTTAATTCTTGTATAGTTCTTCCTTTCCATGCCAGCTATATATAAAAAATATGCTGTGACTCCAACAAATATAAGCAGAAAAGGGCTTAGGATACCTGCACATATCACCATAAATTACGGAACAAATTAATTGAGTAAATAGACAACTTAATTCCTAGAACTATCGTTAAATTTCAGTTCACTCTTTTAATTTATTTATGAATGCGAGTTAATTCCTAAATGTGTCAAACTCGTATCGTGTTAATCCTTCTTAAGAAGGGAACCAATTCATTTTACCAATTGTAGAACTTGTATCTCCATTATGCCAAATGAGTCAGGGCTTTAGAAAGCTTACCAGCAAGCAGTTTCCGTTTTGATGAACCTGATAAAAAAATTTAAGATATGAGCTTCATCCAGGTGAATGTTATGTTATAACATCTATCTCTGTACCCATATGTGCTGTCTGAAAAATAGAATATGCTATTCCTTAACACTACCAATGCTTAATTTTGGCGGTACATGAACAGAGATTCCTAGATCAGTATAGGTTTCGGTAAATTTTCCAAAAATCAAAGAAAGAACAGATTGATATGTTTTGTTTGAATATAAAAAAAAAATTATATACTTAATAAAAATATGTAATTAAAGAAATACATATCATTTCCATGAAATTCTAAATATGGATCAAGCAGAAGATACCTAAAATTATAATTTACCTTATGCATCTTAAATTTAATCTAACCACTCAGAAGTAAATTGAAGAACGCCATACAATTGACATAAAAGAAATCTTAGACTCATAAAGTGAGAGAAGAATTTGCATCCTTTTATGTTATTAACATAACATCCTGAAGAGAAAAAGATACAATTTTTATCTGATAAAGACTAAATCATGATTAATTACAGAATCTACTAATTAAAGTTGATAATAATTGTCTCTCTCTTTTTTTTTTTAATCTGACATGATACTCAAGTATTCAATTACAGAAGTGGTGATACCTTTGCGTTTGCCAATGCATTGGAATTTGGGTTGAGAGGTGTTTTCTTTAGCCTTGCATTGGCCACCTTTTTGTTCGCAGCTTCTGCAGTCTGGTTGGAACCAATTGAGAGCAGCATCAACGTTGTTGTTAAACAAAGACTTTGGCAATAATAAGGGGCTTTGGATTCTGGTGCAAGATAATAAAGGAGACCATATTATTGATGATGAGGAATGTACTGCTATAACTTCAAAGCCAGGCACATTGAGGCAAGAAAAGTTTCCCGATGTTATTATATCATAACCATGGTCATATGTGTTTCTGCGAGAAGTCCCTGAACAATTGAATAGCACATATTCGCTGACTCCCAAGTCAACGTTAAACGAAAAAGGAGATGCAGTTATATTGAAATTTGGAATACGTTTGTGAAGGCAAGCTTCAGGATAAGACACGGTTATGAGTTGAGAAGTGTAGTTGATGCTTTTGACGAAGGCCTTAACAGATGGGAGTTCCAGCACAGTGTGGTTGGTGTGGGTGCAGTATAGATCAAACCAGGGATTATGGGCACACCATTGGGGTTGTATTCCTTTAAGTCTGAAGGGGAATCTGATGGATGGTCCATCAATACCACAACTTGTTTCTTTGCATTGGTCAAAGGAACTAGTTTCTGCAAGCATGGTTCTGGTTATGGTTAAGAAGCATAAGGACAAGAAAGGGAGACCCAATGCCAAGTAACTAGTCATTTGGACACAACCCTCCACTTCTATTTTCTCATGCTTCGATCATTCCATGTTAAATATGTAATCTAACAAGAGAATGTGAACAATTTTCATCCACCCAATCCAATGGTACAAGTCAGATAAAATCAAGGATAAAACAGTAGATACGGTGTTGTGTTTGCATAAAACAATTTGGACAGTAAAGAAAAGTGATTTTAGAACATTTCATATTTATAGTTAGATAAATTTTATATTAAATTGAGAGAATTTTAAATTATATATATTTTTAGAAAGAATTTAGAAAACTCTTCTCCTATATTTAATTTCTTATAATTATTATTAATAACTCCTTTTATGGTTGATTTCATATTCTCACTTAAACCATTCTCATTATTAATTTTATATATTTTTAAAATTCCATACTTCTATGTCCAAACACAACTTTAATGTTATTTTTAAATTTAGAGTTGGAGGTTCACTTTTCCATCTTAAAAGAAGATACAAATTATTGAGGTAATTAACTGGAAAACTACACTAAAAATACCGTTACTTTGATCTTGTCCTAAAATCAATAGCTTCTCTCTCTAAAATAAAAATGAATAATGCCTCACTTCGCTTCAGGTGATATATCATTTTATCCATAAAAAGGATAAAAACGGTTTTTATATAAAAAATTTAAAATATTTTGTATAATTATATTTAAATTTAATAAATTTTTTAATTAAAAAATATTTTTATAAAATTAAAACTAAAGTTTAGATTGAATTTTAAAAATAAAATATTCAATACTACAAAAAATAAAGAAAAACTAATACAAGAACGAAGAGTAGCATAATTGCTAAATATATTTTTATTTAAGATGAGTCGAAAAATGCTTTCATTTAAAAGTGAAAATTCGTATTTAATGTATAACGATAATTTTTATGACATATTTAAATAATTTTTAACGTAAAGCAATAAGTTAATATTTTATTCTCTTTATGACAAAAGAAAATTTAATATATTTCATATATTTATTTAAAATGTTCTTTGTAAGAAAAGGGAAAAGAGCGAAATCTAAAAAAATGGAAAACGTATTGTGGAATTTGTGGGATAATGGACACAGTTGACTTGAAGTCAGTGGCAACCGAGGACGAGGTCAATTAACGCGTGCTTATGTATAACTTACATGGGAAATGGAAGTAGGGTGATGAACTGATGATTCTTAAAAACTAAAAAAGATTGATTTTGTTTGTGAGATTGACGTAATCGTATCTGAATTATCGTTAGAAAGAATCATGTTTGTGTCGTGTATGGGATTCATTCTTCTTCTCCTAACTTTGGCATGCCTGTTTTTTGTTTGGTTTTACTCGGAGATACCGGAGGAGACGTTACATTGCGGAACGATATTCAACAAATCATCGTTATCTTGGGAGGAGAGGTGCATGAATCCGAGTTTCCAAGTGATATGTGAACACAACAAACCACTTATCTACATCAACTATGGAAGAAGTTACTCCGACGCCATTGTAGCTGCTGCTGATTCAACGTTCCGTTACATCAGCACTTCCGTCGCAGTTGAAGATCCCAATCGCTGCTCTCTCATCCATTTTCGTTCCCTACACTACGAAAACCTCACTTTGCTCCCAACATTTCGTTATTCCTATCATGGAAATTTGATAGTTGTGATATGCGAAAAAGAAGCAAATGTTGATGGCTACTGGGACATCTCGGCGCACTGTAGCCCTGGAATTGGATTCAATGCTTATGTTTTGCTTGATCACCCACCTGCCGCATATCTTGCAGAGTCTTGCACCCTAGTGATGAAGGTAGTGGTGATGAAGGCGTGGAGAAGCAAAAGATGCAGTAGAAACTGTTCGTATCCTCAGATTCACAGAGTTTGTAAACGGGATTCAACTTCGGTGGCGACCCATTCGCTGTGATGACTGGGAACGGGACCCGCAATTCATAAACACCCCATACGTGCATTATACAGTTTCCTTCATTGCAGCAATTGGTGAGTGAATCCAAGGCTTTCACAGTATTTTTTTTGTTTTTATTTTTTATATTATCACTTTTTTTATTTTTTATTTTCTAATATTTTCACATCAAAATATTAAAAAGGGTTATTTTAATATTTATCATAAAAGTCTTTAAAAAATTTTATAAACTAAAATTATATAAAGTATTAATTTTATTATTAAAAATAAAATTATATTTTTAAAATCAAACCGTCTTTAAATTTCAATTTTTTAAAGCTTAGTTACCCGATTTAGTTAGTTTATTTTATGTTTGAATTTTTAAATTAATTTAAGAAAATAAAAAATAATTCACAAATCACGTTTGAATTCACAAATTTTGCATATTACACTGTTTAAACTTCAAACATGTTTAATTGACATTGATTTGTATTAACTCTCAATTTTTTTTCAAATATTCGTAGATTAAGAAACACTAACAATATTTATAATCAAAAGATATTAAACATCAAGAACATTTCAAAAACTACACAATAAAAGATTAAACATATATATTTAATATTAAACACAACTTAGCAGTTTTTAAAATATTAAACATGATAAAAATTAAAAATTAAATCTTTCCTTTTCCTTTAAAATAATTAAATAGAAATAAAACTCTGAGGGGCAATAAAATTTTTTCCTTCAAAAATAATTAAATAGAAATAAAACTCTCAAGAAGCAAGAAAAAATTACTGTACATATATCGACAAAAAAAAAAACTTAATTAGAGAAGAGAAAGAAATACACAACGAGAAGAAGAAAAAGCAAAAATCTTCCACTTTAACGCAGTTTGGTCCTCTCAACTCCCTTTTTTTGAATAGTTACTGTTTTTTTTTTTTAAGACAGAGGCCAAAACTCTAAAGGAAGAATTACAAAATGACAGCTCTAAATAAAAGAATGCACATGGCATTCACAACAAAAAGGAAAGACAATTAGGGGGAGAAGCTAAAAGCTCTACTCTGCTAATTTAGGTTCTTTTTGTTCTAGCTGATTCTGTTGATTCTTAGACTATGATTAACAAAAATAGTTAAGAAGTTAGTCAAAAATTAAAAAAAAATCTTAAATATTTACATGATTAATTTAACTGCAATTTAACAATATATTTTTAAATATTAAAAATTATAATTAAGATGTACATATAAATAATTAATTTGAAATACATTTGAATTTAAACAATCTTAAAATAAAAGAAAAATAATTATATTATGTCATTTTAACAAGGAAAAATATAATAAAATATTGGATCATTCTAAAAAGTTTATTATATATAAGCTTTTATTGCATGTAATTGAACACATGTTAAAAAAAATTGATATAAAATATAAAAAAAAATGTTTATATAATAATAGAGTTTGATCTTAATAAAGAATAAAATTAAAGTGCTATAATTGTTTTTTTTTTTAATTAATACATGAATTACTTGAAATAAATCTTTTAATATGTATGATTTAAGTATGAAAATTACCACACGAGTATAAAACACCGTGCTAACAAAATTACACTTGCACAGTGGCTTTTTTTGTTACTGCAAAATTTGTGCTTGGGTCACCTTTGGTAGTCGGCTTCTTGATATATAAATGGAGAAGAAGGCATTTGTCTGGAGATGAGATGGTTGAAGATTTTCTTGAGAGTCACAATAATTTCATGCCCATCAGGTATTCATACTATGAAATCAAGAGGATGACCAAACATTTCAAACACAAGTTAGGTGAAGGAGGCTACGGTGCTGTCTATAAAGGGGAACTTCGGAGCAAAATTTTGGTAGCTGTTAAGGTATTGAACAAATCCCAATCCAATAATGGACAGGATTTCATCAATGAAGTTGCAACCATTGGAAGAATTCGTCATGTCAATGTGGTCCACTTAATTGGATTTTGTGCTGAGAAAAAAGCAAGCTCTTGTCTGAGTTCATGCCTAATGGATCTCTTGATAAACACACATTTTCACCCGAGCAAGCAAACTCATCATTAAGCTATGGGAAAATCTATGACATTTCTCTTGGAATTGCTCGCGGCATTAAGTATCTACACCAAGTTTGTGACATGCAAATCATACACTTTGATATAAAACCTCATAACATTCTTCTTGATGAGAATTTCAACCCCAAGATATCCGACTTTGGATTGGCGAAGTTGTACCGAATAGATGAAAGTACTTTGTCTCTAACAGCGGCAAGAGGAACAATGGGATACATGGCTCCTGAGTTGTTGTACAAAAACATTGGAAGCATCTCACACAAAGCTGATGTTTATAGTTTTGGAATGCTGTTGATGGAAATGGCAGGAAGAAGAAAGAATGTAAATTTTGTGGAGAATTCTTGGCAAAACTACTTTGCTAAATGGGTTTATGACCAATTTGAGGAAACAATAGATATAAGCAATGCAACGGATGAAGAAAAGAGTATGGCAAAGAAAATGATAGTGATAGCCTCAACATGCATACAAATGAAGCCTGATGATCGTCCCTCAATGAACGAAGTGATAGAGATGCTTGAAGGAGATGAAGTGCCCCAAGATGTTCTTCTTCCACCTGATCCTGAGCCTCCCCGAATTTGGCAAAGGATGTCAGCAGATGAAAATGGATTTGATGACAACAAACACTCATCATGAGCCACATGTGGAAGTTCATTTAGCATATGCAATTGATAACAACCATCATGTGTTATAAGTGTAGACTTGCATACATTTGTATTTAATTTTTCTATGGATCTTTTACTTTACAAGTTATCACTTGTTTTCTGTCTCACCAAATTTGCTTGTTAACTATTTTAGAAGCTGCACCATGGACGAGCTTAAAGCTTCTTTATATCTGGCCCTCTCAAAATGCAATCTATTTCTCATAGTCAAAATCCACCTTTAGATCATCTAGCTGTGAAGAGAATTCGAATGTCAGACAACGAAGCCTTCTGAGGCATTATCATGTTCATGTTTTGATCACCCTCCCATATCTATGCACAAGGTACTAAGAAGTTTTTCGGAGTCTTTTGACTCTTGATATATAATTATTAGTAACACAAATTTTACTGGTGAAGTTCTTAAAAGTTGGGCTCTTCTGTGAAGAATTCGAGCATCTACATTCTACACTGTGCTACCATTTTTCCTCCAAATGTCTTGATTGGATTTCATATCTGCCATATCTATTTCATTCTAGAGTTCAAAGGCTGCTAGGATCGCATAGTGTCTAAAAGCTGACTCCTTAAATAGTTTTGCCAACATCTTTTTTGCTCTCTCTCAAGTTAATCAAAAAAATTATAAAAACGATATGCGTCATTCACGTGTTAATTACTACTATGTATTTGGATCCTCACTAGCCTGATTTTGTTCCTGCCATTGTTCTGCAAAATTTAAATCACTAAATTTGTCTTTGTCCTACAATTGCAATTGCATGAGAGAGAGAGAGAGAGAGTAACGAATGATTAAGATTTAGGCCGGAAAGAAATCTTATTTGGTTAAACTATTTCTGTCAACAAGTAAAACATGTATATTTAATCATTTTAAATAACTATATCCTGATGAAAAAATGGAAAGAATATATTTTTAAATTTTATTAGAGAACTAAAATTTTAAGTTTACCATTTTACAACTATGGTTATACCCCTAGACCTAGTAAACCTTAAAATTGTGTTTAGGTAAGCCATTTTAAAATTCTTACAATTTATGTATTTAAATAATAAAAAATAATTTAAAAATACTACAAAACTTCTAAATAATTTTTGTATCAAATAAAAACTTATTTTAATAACTTTTTTTTGAAAAATTAAAAAATTATTTATTATATTTAACTTTTTATAATTATTATGCTTTCCTCTTCTCAACTCTAAGCCTCCCTTATTATTTCCAATCCAAAGACAACCTAATTAAACCTAAGATTCTCTTGACAAAATCCCCCGTACTTGCATTAAACTTCTTCAAATCAAAGGATGTTAAAATCATACTTACACAACTAATTGTCATCATTTATTCAATTGAATACAACTTTCGTGCTCACCTACTTTTATGTGATTAAAAAAGGCACTTTTCAAGGAACTAATTTTATAGTAATTTGTGGGCATGTTAATTGTTGACGTACAAAATTAAAAGGATCATTTATTTTGGCAGTATTTTCTAGTTCATAATGTGATAATAACTCGATCTCGCAAATTGTAGCAAACAAATGAAAAAAAAATTGAGGGAAAAAGCTCTCAATAAATATAATGTGCTTGGATCCCCCAGCTGCAAAAAATACTCAAATATGAAATGATACAAAAAAAAACTTGATGTTCAAATGCTGTCTAAGAGAGAGTACTTATTCTAGTTTCTCGATTACATCCATTAAAAAATGGATTATAATATTCTGCTCAGCCGCATCCAATTCTATATATGACTAATACAATGTAATAAGGTATGTCAAATTCCCGCTTCAGTCGCATGATTAATTAAACCTTAAAAAATGATCAGCTCCATCGTTGTTTAATTGCCAAAAAGGGCTAACAAAACAGCCAACAAATTATTCAATGCTCAAAGCTTGAATTCAACAGAAAATGCCCACTTCCCCAGACAACTACAATCCATAGGATTTCTCCAATTTCTGAATTTGATTGAGGAAGATCCATGTCATCTGCATTAGCAATTAACAAACAATCAGATATCATATCAGGCAACAAACTTAATAAACCCCTTAAATTTAAAAAAATAACTAAAAATCATAAAAAGAACAAGAAAACAAAAGAACCACAAGAGACAGGAAATGTGAAAGAAGAGAATACCATGACATGAGGAGCAATCCTAACACAGTAGACAGGGAATCCTGTGTAAAATTTGAACGGTCCCCCTGATTTGAAGGTTTTGACAGCACAATCAACAGAGCCAGTGTATGGATATTTTCCTTCAGCATCAGGTTGCATCTTCTGAATCTGGGTCTTCACATAGTCAAATGGCAAACTGCAAGCTGCTGCAAAAAATCCAGAAACGGAACTTGCACCTGAAGAAGAAATGTTAGCATCCTACAGTGAGTACAAAGTCCTTCGCAGTATTTTCACATAAGCATAGCCCATGGTACATAGAATATCAGATTTTGAGGACGAGTTAAGCCAAGCTCAAATTCAATAACAATCCATTGATGTTACAAAACTTATGTGATATTTCCTAAGTACTTTTGGTGCTGTTTACGAATCAAATTTTGAAGTTCGTCTTCATAAAAGGCATCTAATGTGTTCAACAATCATCCTATCCAATAAAAAAATGATTAATATTAAAAAAAAGTAATTTTTAATCTTACAAAAACAGGGCACAGCTGATTGGTCATAAACTTACAAAGTTTGTTCTTTGTAATAGCATCATTCGGATTAACTAACAGTTTTATAATCAATTCAAACAAAAAAATTGAATGAAATTTATTAAACAATAACTACGCTACAAGGATTGTGACTTGATCAACTCAGACTCAAGGATGGGAATAAGCCAAGCAGTTCAAGTATCTGCTTGCAGCTCAAATGCTCAATTAACTAAAAACTATGAGTTGAGGATTTCGACTCATCCATTGAATAAGCCAATCTTGAGTTTTCATATATTCAGCTTATTACCTTATGAACACATTTGCTTTTATTATTGGTCAGTTGGGCTAAATTATTTTAAACTAAATATATGAAGAAAATATATTACCAAATTCTGAGTTAGAAATTAACCCATTGAACCTAAAATATTCAATTAATACAAGGTTCAAAACTGGCACAGTGAAAAAAAAAAAAAAAACTAACAGCAGATTCAAACTAGGATTCTGAAATCTGAAAGTAAAGTGATGATGATGACAGCAAACTATCATAAATATCTGTTATACAAAAAGGTGAGATGCGTCTACGTATGGCAGCCCGTTTGGAGAAACATTTTATGACTTCTTAACATTGTCAATAGAAACAAATCTAACTTGAATAAGGACCACCCCCCTCTAGTTGGCAGAGTGTCAAAGAAAATAAGTATATCAGAATCATTGTTGATAAATGTAAGATAAACAGAGAACTTAGAAAACCAATTCCTTTTAGCAAAGCAGTTGTTAAAATTTATTTTCAAATTCTTGTACACTGTTCTATTTCATATCTTCACTGTATCTATTATCTTATTAAAACAAAATGTGTCAATATATTTATTTTTTAATTTTAAGCAGAATTTGACTATTCATGTTACAGCATAATGTTTTATGTTTCACTTCTCCTATATAAGATCTCAAATTTGACTATTTTGCTGAAAAGGGAAAATAAATGTGTTTTTCTTAGAAAAGCCACAACCATGTTGATTTTGGATCAAAAAAATGAAATGGACCTTTGACCCAACCCAGACCAGATTGACCCACAAACCAAAAACCTAAAAAAATTGCCTTTCTTGTCTTTATTCTCCCTCTTGCAAGTCGCGACTCAAGTCTCTCTTCTTCAGTCTTTGGTTTGAACACCTCTCTCTTCGTCATCCTCAACATCTCCTTTCTCGTTCTCAACGTCTCTTCACCTTCCTCGACATTGACAACTACCACAACCCTGTCTCCAGCTATTGTCACCATAGTAGTCAATAGCAGCCACCATCGCGGAGCTGCAGAGCATAGCAGCTGGGATTTTGCTACTCCATTGCCGTCACATTTCAATGTAGCAGCCTTCATGGCAAATATATCACAGCAAAAAACAGAGTGAATTGCAGCCATAGCAACCGCTATTTCATCGTAGGACAAAAGGTTGAAATGCCTTTTGAGTTGGGCAATCTTGGGATCATCCCCCCCCCCCAATGTCAAATAGGGGCAAAAGGATAAGTTTGGCCTCCTATACTGGAAGTTGGAATGCTTTTTAAGGGAAGCAGTCTTAGGATTTCACCTCCCTCCTAATATATTTTTGAAAGTTGGAACCCTAGCTCCATCTCTGTTTACTTAGCTCATCCTTCATCTCTGTGCAATTCACCATTTCCGGCCAAGTTTTGGTTGTCTTTTTCATCTCTTGCAAATCCCAACTTATTTCTAACGCGGCATAGACTATTTCCAACAAGATGTAAACATTTTCTAATGATATTGAGATATTTTGCATTAGAGCTTTTTTTTCATGACTAAATACTCTTTGATCTATTTTCTTTCTCTATTTTGATTGTCTTATCCCACTATTCTGCTAGTGTTTTTGGGATTAGCTGCTCTCTGCTATCCAGGATTGACTATTATGACTGTCACTGCCTCCATCTCAGGAGGCTACCGTTGTCACTGCCACAGCAAATATATTTTGTTCGTGAGTGAACTTATTTTGTTTTTCTCCTTAATTATTGCCCTCCCCCGTTTCATTTCTCCTTTTTTTTTCTTTTTCTTCTCCTTGGTTTTCAGTTTCCCTTTTTTCTTTGTTTTTCCTATTCAAAATTGGAATGACAAATTGAAGAATCACACAAGAAAATCAGCAAGCCATCAACCAACCCAACCAGAAACAGAAACACATCTAAGCAAAAGAGGACACAGGAAGAATGACAAACCCAGATGATCCCACCAGTCAAACAAGTCAAAGAAGACAAACTGGAGGAGAGAAGATGAATAGAAGAAGCTGGGTTTGACCGTTTGTGCATTTGAAATGGAGGAAAATCAGGGCCTGAGGGTTACCTCCTAGTGGGTCTACACAATCAAGGAAGGTCTGTTGCTGTGATCAGTTTTTTGCTTTGAAAATGGTTTATTCAGCTGCATGGTGGGAGTCTGATCCCACCTACACATGGAAGATCACGTGATCGGGAATCCCATTAGATTGAGTTTCAGACTGTGACTGGGATAGTTAGAGTTCTTAAAATCATACAAGAAAGTTCCAATTTTTACTACCATGCTCCCCAGACACAACTAGGTGATTCCCCTTTTACAGTTATAGGCTTACAGCTCTATGTCTAGCATTGTAGGAAAATAGGAGTTTTGATCAAGACATAACACTTTGAAGGATGAGGTACAAAACAAACATTTAGGGTCCTTGTTAGAACATTTTCAGTATTCAGGTAAACTGCAGCCATCCCCATGAAGATTTTACCCAAATCAACCTTGGTGCATTCACTTTTATATCCTACTGTCTACACTTATTAGTTTCAGTAGGATAAACTACATCCCCCAATTACATTCACAAATGTTGCAAGTGATCTCTTTTTTATTTAGCCTGCACAGTACAAACTTAAAAAAAAATGACTTTATATTTGTCTTATAAAGCATGCTAGAAGTGACAGTATGCTTCTGAAGTCAATTGTACAAAATGAGTAAAGACAGAATAAATTCAGGTCCAAACCAGTAAAAAACAGAACAGAGAACGATCATGCATCAGTTGTCTTACTAACACAATCACAGTGTATAAAGCTATAGCCAACAACTGCAAACAAAATTATTTGATATAGTAAAATGGTATCATACCTAGCACAGTAGCAGCTTCACCTAGACCAAGGGAATCCTTGAAGAACTCAACACTTTGATCATATGATGCAAGCATTCCCATGTTCAATGCCATGGCTCTTACAACAGTAGGCCCAGCACCTTTCCAAAGCGCCAAAACCCCTTCATCTGCAACAATTCGATAGAGTGCATGGAAGGCATTTGTGTAATTTCGGCGCTGAGCAAGAGGCAAAGTTGCATCAGCCTGCATACGAATAAGTGCCAAATCTGCTGGACTACCAACAGTTGCTCCAATAGCACCAGCAGTGAGTCCACATAGAGCTTTCTGATATAATGGCAGTGGCTTCCCATCATTAGCCTCAATTGCTTTGTTTGTCAACATTCTAAAAAGCATTAAAATCGTTCAGTAAGAAACAAAGCAATCCCTTCAAAACCACTCAGATGATGAGACTTCTAGCAATAAGAACTATCATTGCATAAAACATAACAAAGGAACAATAAAAAACCTCAGAAACAAAAACTAAAAAATTTCTCTTTTTTATTATTAACTGAGAGTGATGAACGTTATCACAAAACTCACTTAAAAGACCCAAGTCGAGCAGTGGTGTATGTAGCCTGCCTGAGAAGTCCAGCAGATAGACCCTGCATGAAGAGATTCAATTTAGAAACCAATAGATGTATATCACAATAAAAAGACACAAAGACCAACGCGCAAACTCATCGCTTGGAATAAAACAGTGACTCTTCAATAAGAATCCGCTTCATAACTCATAAGTCAAAGCAACACTTTACATAAAATCCATTTCCACTTGCAGATCTATAGCTAGTTAAATAAAACATGTGACACACAGCATTAGGGCGTGCATAATGGATTCATAACACAAGCATTCCCGCATTGGAATCATCAACATAAAAATCTTCCCAACACACCAAACCCAAACCTAAAGGCATCCCAGCAAGGATCCCTCATTGAATAAAACCAAATAACATTAAAAAAAAAACAAGAACATGGGAAGAAACGCAAAAACCTTATAGAAGGCAGCAACACCCTCGTTCTTCAGCATGGTGGAAGTGACCTGCGCAGCCGATCCTTGACCAAGTTGAATCCTCACCTACACCACCAAATCCAGCAAACCAATCAAATCCCACAACACAAAATCCAGCGATCGCACACAAAAGCCCACAGATCTGAGCCCAGCAAGAAATATCAGAGAGACCCAGTAGTCCATTTGGAGTAATCAAGACAAAAAAGGCACAAAGGTGAAAACTTTACGAGACCTTGATCATATCGATGGGTTGAATAACGCAGGTGGCGAGCATGCCGGAGGCTCCACCATTGACAAAAGGCTTGACGGTGGACCACACGCCTGAAGTAGCAGGCTTGGGCTTCTTCTCATCTCCCATTGTTGATTGTGAGATAGAAAAGGGTTATAGCGAAGAAAGAGAGGGAGATGAGAAGCTGAATGAATGGAGCGAAACCAAGAGACACACAACTCTTTCACTAACACGTTTATATATTGCAAACCTCTTTCCTCACTTCCCCACACACAAAACACCCTTCCGCCCCCAACAAACCAGAGAACAACTTTTTCATCAAATTAATGAGGTTTTTCTTTTTCCTTTTTTCTTTTTTCTTTTTTTCGCTTCTTCGTTTTAAGCCTTGCCTTTCCCAAAATTTACAAAACTGGTTTTTTTTCCCCATTGAAATTAAAAGGATTATTCCAACGTAATTTTTTACAAACTTTTCCATCACATTTTTTTAATTATACATTAAAATTTATTAAAAATTATAAAATTATTAGAGATTATTAGTTTTTTTAATTTTAATATGTTTTAATTAATAATTAAAAATATATTAGAAGAATCAATTTTTATGCTATAATTTTAATTAGTTATATTTCAAATACTGTTTTCTTATTCTTAATAAAATTATAAAAATAATAATAATTTATTTAAATAAAAAAAAAACAAACAAACACAGAGTAAAATAACAAAGGGTATAACGTTTCATTGTTGTAAGTCCTAACCTATATATATATATATATAAATTGTATAAAATGGAAAAAGGAAGAAAGTGTAGCCTACTAGCCTCTCGATCAATGTCAAGTGGGGTTGGTTGCTTGCAATCTTGGAACGAAATATAATGAGCATTACCTGTTGAATATGCATATAAAGTAAGCAAGGACCATCTCAGCACATGCCCATACTCTATGGGAGGGTTCCAATTCCTTATATTCTGCTTAACCATTCCCACACTACACCCCTTGCCTTTGTCTTCAAAAAGTCACAATTTCAAGATCATGTGTCATGGTCAAGTTTATTAACCAATGGCAATTAGCAATTATCAATTAAATATGGACAATGGCTCTTCCAAATTTGCATTTGCTATGATTATTTAGTGTATTGTAATTTTTACGATTATTAAGTGTACATGTTCACACAATAGAAACTGTCTATATTATGTTAATTGGAGGGTGCATTTAACTCCTCATTAATATTGATTATGTACATACTTTTTATGGATGTGCTATTATTGGGGATTTTATTATTGAGTTTAAACATTAATAAACAAAAACTTTTATAAAGAAAAGTGTATTTAATTATATTAAATTTATAAATACAATAAATATTTTTCATAAAATTTTACCATCATTAATTGTGATAATTTTTGCACACTTAATTCATTTAAATGCAAAACAATAAATAATTTTATTGTTTATTTGAATTGAAGTTCAAATATTATAGAATCACATTTATATTTAATTTTAATAAACATTTTGAAATAGTAATGATCATTTGCCAACTTTGATGATAATGAATAGGGTGTGGATAGAACAGTAAAATAAGGAAGAAGCGAAGGGCATTTAGAGTATTGACACACAGGATTTGGGGTATTGAATGTTGGGTGCTCCACAAGAGGACGTGTGATTCCATGTGAGTTGCCAACTTGTGGAAGTGGTTCATTGCTGCTGTGGATATCAAACTTGTGGAAGCTTTTAGTATCAAACTCTCCCTTCGGATTTCTCGTTGAATGGCGATTATCGCATTAAACTTGTCTCCTTCGGTGCTTTTGCACTCCTTTGCGTTTAATTGTGAAAAACTTGGCTTAATTTTATAAAAAATAAACATGTTACTATTTTTTATTTTGGTACCTTATATTTTACGTAAAAAGGTTTAAAGAGAATGAAAGTTATCTTATTGTAGAAGCCATATGAGTCTCAATGTAAACGTTTTAGTTCGTAACACCCAACACCATATTTGGATCTAGACAGGTTTCGCAACTTGCAAATCAATAATATTCAATCTTTGTAACGTTATGCTGCCACCCTTAAGTCTCATAATCTGTAGTTTTTAACGAAGAATGTTAAATACTTTAATAGTTACTTTTTTAAGAGTGTTTGTGGACATTCTTTTGGATCGAAAATTGGCGTAAAAGAAAGAAAATAAAAAATGTGTTTCCTTTAAAGGTTACTTAGAATAGAATCCAAAACAAATGAGCCACTCGTTTGTCATTATTTTAGTCCAATAAACATTACCCTTTGAGATATGCATGGCTTGAAAGCCAAGAGGACCAAGGAATTCTATGACAATGACTATTAAGTGGGGCTAGAGTCGCACATTCCTTGTGAATTGCGATAGGCAACATATTACTATTTTAAAATTTTTTTAAAATATTCACTATTTTTAAAAAAAAAATATCCATATATAAACTGCAAATTTGATACGATTTGCAGTTCACACATATAGTAGGTGATGAAAGGCACTACTTTGTTGTGAGCCTACGTACACTCACTAGTCATATAACTTTTCAAGGTTATCAAATAACTTCAAATTAGTCAAGTAATGTTCGTTATTTTAGAAAAACCAGTTTTCAGAGTTGTTCATTCGTTATACAACCGAAGTATCTCCATTTGACACACCTACAAATTAAATTTTATAAGCAATATTCTTATAATGGTTGCCTGATTGATCGATGCAAACTTCTTTGGTCTTGTAGTATGTTTGTGGTTTAATTTCAAGGATAAACCTGATTTTCATCATTTAAGCATATTTTTTACGGTAAAAATTGTAAATAGTAAATAAATAAATTTAAGAATAATATAAAATTAAATTTTAAATCTTATTTAAATTCTTTTAAATGTGTTTTTAACATAATTAAGTAAATTAATATAGTAAAGCAAAGATTTAAACAAAAATAATAAAAATACAATAAAATAATATTGAAACAGACATAAGGAAGTATAAAAATAAGCTAACATGAAAATAAATTTACAAAAATATAATGTATAATTCTTAACAATGATCAACACATGTTTGTTGATCTTTAAGTCATCAGATTTAACTAATGCGTAGAACTTTGACTTGCAGATATTTTGGATATTAGTGTTTAGTGCAAAACTTAATATTATTTATAGACAAATATAACTTAACTGCTCTCCATTTTTTGTGGACCTCTCTTGATGATTGCATTTGGCGTGTATTTCATCTATAATTGTTGTCACCCACTATAATGCTTCTTCTAAACTGCTACTATCGTGCATGATAAGCTCTATATGTCTTTGATTTTCGCTTGTTGATAACTATTGGTAGTAACCTCTTTATTTTTGGAAACTGCTTCCAAATTGACACTTCTTTTGACACAATTGATTTTCGTTTGTTGATAACTGTTGGTAGTAACCTCTTTATTTTTGGAAACTGCTTCCAAATTGACACTTCTTTTGACACAATTTCTCATAAGGAAGTACAAAAATAAGCTAGCATAAAAATAAGTTTACAAAAATGTAACGTATAACTCTTAGCAATGATCAATACAGATCCGTTGATCTTCGAGTTGTTAGATCTAACCAATGCGTAGGCTTTGACTTGCAAAGATTTTAGATATTGGTATTTAATGCAAAACTTAATATTATTTATAGACAAACATAACCTAATTGCTCTCCATCTTTTGCGGGCCCATCTTGATAACTGCCTCCAACGTATGTTTCTTCTATAACTGTTGTCATCCACAATCATACTTCTTCTACAATCGCTACTATCGTCCATGATAAGCTCCATATGTCTTTGATTTTTACTTGGTGATAACTGTTGATAACTGTTGGTAGTAACTTTTCTACTTTTGGAAACTGTTTCCAAACTGATACTTCTTTTGACACAATTTCTTATAAGGAAATACAAAAATAAGTTGACATAAAAATAAATTTATAAAAATGTACCATACAACTCTTAGCAATGATCAACACATGTTTGTTGATCTTTGAGTCATCAAATCTAACTAATGCGTAGAACTTTGCTTGCAGATATTTTGGATATTGGTGTTTAGTGCAAAACTTGATACTATTTATAGATAAACATCTCTCCATTTTTTGTGGACCCCTCTTGATGATTGCATTCGGCGTGTATTTCATCTATAAATGTTGTCACACACGATCATGCTTCTTCTACAACTGCTACTATCATGCATGATAAGCTCTATATGTCTTTGATTTTCGCTTGGTGGTAACCGTTAATAACTGTTGGCAGTAACCTCTTTATTTTTGGAAACTGTTTCCAAATTGACTTCTTTTGATACAATTTCTCATAAGGAAGTATAAAAATAAGTTAGCATGAAAATAAATTTACAAAAATGTAACGTATAACTCTTAGCAATGATCAACACAGATCCGTTGATCTTCGAGTTGTTAGATCTAACTAATGCGTAGGGTTTGACTTGCAAAGATGTTGGATATTGGTATTTAGTGCAAAACTTGATACTATTTATAGATAAACATAACCTAACTGCTCTCTATCTTTTGCGGGCCCATTTTGATAACTGCCTCCAACGTATGTTTCTTCTATAACCATTGTCATCCACGATCATGCTTCTTCTACAATCGCTACTATCGTCCATGATAAGCTCCATATGTCTTTGATTTTTGCTTGGTGATAACTGTTGATAACTGTAGGTAGTAACCTTTCTACTTTTGGAAACTGTTTCCAAATTGACACTTCTTTTGACAAAATTTCTTATAAGGAAATACAAAAATAAGTTGACATGAAAATAAATTTAAGAAAAACGTAACGTATAACTCTTAGCAATGATCAACACAGGTTTATTGATCTTCGAGTCGTCAGATCTAACTGATGCGTAAGCTTTGACTTGCAAAGATTTTGGATATTGGTATTTAGTGCAAAACTTGATACTATTTATAGACAAACATTACTTAACTGCTCTCCATCTTTTGCGGACCCATCTTGATAACTGCTTCCAATGTATGTTTCTTCTATAATCGTTGTCATCTACAATCATGTTTCTTCTACAATCACTATTATCGTCCATGATAAGCTCCATATGTCTTTGATTTTTGCTTAGTAATAATTGTTGATAACTGCTGGTGGTAACCTTTCTACTCTTGGAAACTGTTTCCAAATTGACACTTCTTTTGACACAATTTCTTATAAGGAAATACAAAAATAAGTTGACATGAAAATAAATTTAAGAAAAACGTAACGTATAACTCTTAGCAACGATCAACACAGGTTTGTTAATCTTCGAGTCGTCAGATCTAACTGGTGCATAGGCTTTGACTTGCTAAGATTTTGGATATTGGTATTTAGTGCAAAACTTGATACTATTTATAGACAAACTTAACTTATTTGTTCTTCATTTTTTGCGTGCCCCTCTTGATAACTACCTTCGGCGTGTGTTTCTTCTATAACTGTTGTTGTCCATGATCATGCTTCTTCTATAATCGCTACTATCGTCCATGATAAGACACAAACCACTACTATCATCTGTGATAAGCATTACATGTCTTTGACTTTCGCTTGATGATAATTGTTAATAACTGCTGGTAATAACTTCTTTACTTCTAAAAACTGTTTCTAAACTAACACTTCTTTTAACACAATTTTTCCTATTTTTACCTCCCTATCTTTTAGACTTGTAAACTCTTTACTATTCTTCATTTCTCAACAATTTTATGAAGAAAGAGATCGAAGAGCCTTAATTTTGATTGACTTTGACTCTTTCAATCTTAGATTCTAAAAACTCTGCAATCTCTGACTCAAATTGTTGACCTTATTTCAACAAAAAAAAAAAATAGGACTTTTTATATTCCATTGTGAAGCATGTTAAAAAAAATGTTTTTCTTCCAACAAAATTCTAAATTTTTAAAGTCCTCTATCCTTCCATAACTTGATCGATATGTGGAGACCTAAAGTTACATTGATTTTAGTTGAAACTGTAATTATGTCAACAACTTTTCTAGGTGATCTCAACCTTCTTTAAAAGGCAATAAAACTTTGTAACTTAGCAAAATTTTTCTTTTCCAAAACACATATACAATTAAATCTCATGTGTTTTAAGTCTCAACTTGAGCTAATTTACAAAATTGATAATTATGATAAATTAATAAGATAATTTTTTTAATACCCTCTTATATATCTATAGTCCCGTTAATATCATATATTAACAACTGTATAACATTGTAAACATAACTAGAACATTTTAGTAAAATATTGTTTTTCTTAAAATTTAAATCTAGGTGAATTTCATCTCTAATTTTTCCTACCGCATTCAAAAGCTTCAATGTTGGGTTCTGGAATTGCCAAAAAAATAATTGTGCGGAGTGATTGCTGCTTTCTTTTGCCTGATTGGTTCCAAAGATATGAATTATCTTTAACTTCACTCTCAATAAGATTTTCAATAATAATAACCACAATTTCTCCTTAGCTTTAGACATATGAACATTATTCATAATTTTCACTAAAGTAATAGAACATGTGATGAACATCTATTTTATTTCGACGATCGAGAACATCAACCATTTTCTCAGGCTCGTGAATGCCTTCTTCACAAGTTACTTTATTTAAGTTCCATGAAATTGTGCAATGTTGGAAGCAATATACTTCTTGTTGACATTTATCGTCCGGTTGAGATTGCAAGATTAATGACATCTGAAACATTAATATTTTATAGATCAAATTATCTTAATTCATAATTGTCCAACATCTCTTATGATAAAATCTCCTGCGGTAATACTTTTGTGAAAGTTTTTATTATCCCATCATCAAATGTGACGAACATCTAATACATCACGACAATCAGTAGTTGCATCATGTATAAATACTTTATTTTAATTATTTTTGTATTAACTATTTTTTTAATACTGTAGTCTGGCAGTATTTAAAATAATTTGCCACATCTTGACTAATTTATCTCCATGGTAAAGTCAAGGACCAATAGTGTAAATATAAAATGCACTATTTGTATTACTTTTTAAACCATACAATCATTCAAAAAACTTATATAACTTACAATAATTACCAAGCAAGTTTTGATTGTTTCATTGCAAAGATACAGACCTTGAAGTTGACAAGGGCTATATTCCGGAAAATTAATTAGTAACGTGAATACAAGGCCTTATCATCTATCCACGCAGGCTTCTTTGCATTGTAATAGAAAAATGCAATCATCTGAACCAACTCATCCGCAGTTCTCAGTTCTGCAAAGGTATAAGTATCCGTGCATCATTATAAAAGAAGAACCAAGAGAAAAAAATGTGCTCTTCTCGGTACCAACCAAACATAAGAAAAAGAGAGAAAATCTCACCGTTCTCTCTGTACACGATCCTGTTACCCCGTAAAAATAAAATTTGAGGACATTCTCTAACTTTCAGAGCGTACGCCAAATCTCTCTCGATGTTAACGTCTATCTTAACCGCCTATAAATAGGAAATTTAATATATTATAAGGTAATGAAAAACGTGACTCAAGATTCTAAAATGGGGAGGATATTTGTAACATTTGTATACAGATAGATAACAGAAAATATAAATCTAATAAGTGGGTTTCAGAAGGAACGTTTGTATTGATGAAAAGCAACATCATTTTTTCATTTTAGGTATGTATAAATATGAAAGTGCAGTTTTAGCAGATGAAGAAAAAAAGACCATACCCGGGGAGGCAATCGATCTTTGGCTTTCCAATACACCTTTACTGCTTTCTCCAGCTCTTTCAAATTTTTCCAGTTATCAGTTGCCCTGTGGAATAACAAAATCAAACGCCAAACTAAGACTACATTTAGCTAAAATGACTAAACATTATTTAAAACCCTACCATCATATATCATTCATTATATATGGTGATATGGCATTTTCATATATGCAATTTTTGAGATACCAAAAAATCTATGATTGAAACAATTGTTACAGTTCCAATAAAACTTTGTACGCATTCCTATAGTCAAGTCCCTCTGAATAAGCGACAATTATGTTCTGGGAACAAATGACATCTTAAAGATATGCATAGCAAATCATTGTCAGCACAAAATCTTTCAAAAACACCGATTTTTTCTATATAGAAGAAGAAATTTCTTTAGAGACAAGAGAACAAAAATTATAAAATTAAAAATGGACTCATCTAATTTCTCATCTCTATGAAAGAAAATCGATTCTCACGCTTTCTAAAGCAAAACAAGCATTCCAATAACAATGTATGGTTTAAATTAATTTATGCACACATCTGAATCACATAAATTGGCTCAAAATCAATTCAACTCAATTTTAAACCGATGGGGCACTTAAACATTTTACCATCCCATTAAGAAATCCCCCACACACAAAAAAAAAAGGCATTTTGATAGAATATTAGAAAAGACCTGTTATAGCGCTCAAAGACAAGGACAATTAACGGGCTGGGATGGAAAGCAAAACTCTCCCACTCCAAACAGTTGATCTCTTGCACCCAGTTATCATCAATCTCCCCTTCCCAGTCAATTTCATAACCATCTTCTCCCACAACATTCTTTATTGGATGCTTCTCAAAATACTCTGAAGCTCTTATCCCCCACCCAACATCTGCATCCAATGGCCAGCTCTTACTTTCTTCCTCGATCACCATTTTATTTCCACTCTCTTCACCACCATCTTCCTCATCGTCACCTTCATTAACACTTTCAGACTTAGAATTGTCGTCATCTCTGTCCTTCATTATATTCTCATGATTCTCCAAAGCATCTGCATTTCGTTGCCGAATTGCAGTAAAAGTGCGTTCGAGAGAGCTGCGTACAAAATCTTCCACTGCCCTGGCTTCACTCCTACGACCTCGCCTCGGCTTCCTCGGAATAGTTGAGGGGAATGTCTCGGCAGAACTTTTATCTTCATTGCTGGATACAACATCTTCAGGTTGGGGGCTTCTGGTTCTTGCCTTAGGCCTTGCTCCTTGGTTGGAACCAGCTTCAGGTTCAGGTTCAGGCTTGGGTTTTGAGGGAGACTTTCTAGAAACGGAGCATGATACAGGCGTTACAACGCGGTGGCTAGACACAGGGGAATAACGAGAAAAACCGACAGCAGATTCGAAACTAAGATTCTGAATATTAAGTGATGACATTGGATGCAAAGTAGCATCGACGTTAGTTGTACAGAAAGGGGAAAAGCGTGCAGTTTGGGTAAACAGCATTTTCGAGACTTCACAACGTTGTCAGTGGAAATATCTTACACCCTCTCTGGGTGTGTGTTTGGCAGAGTGCCACTGAGAAAATAAACAGAGAACTTTGAAAATGAAAAAAGAAATTGGAAGGCGTGGTTGGGTCCTTTTATCAAACAGGTGGTGCTCTAAACACGCAGGCGGAGATTATGGCCCCCTATTTCACTATTTACTTTGTTTTGGGGTTCCTAAGCGAACATTGAAAATAATATAATTGAAGCTCTGCTACTGAAATGGAGTTACCTTTTTTCTTATCCGTCACTCGTCACTCACAGTAAATTGAACTCTGCTATGCAGCTTCATCTATCGCCACTATTTATGTCAGTTAGTTCAATAGCTCTGAATTTGGGATAATCCAATCTGAGACTGTTATATGCGAGAAATTTCTACTGGGCTTATTTTCTTTTTATAGTGAACATGTCATTTTTTAAAACATTAACAAGCATCCCATGCATTCATCATGAGAATTTTATAAATTTAAATCAAATAAAAAAAATTAAATATTCTAAACATATTTATAAATTATGAGCATAAATATAGTAATTAAAATTTATGAAAAATAAAAATTTAATAGAAAATATAAACTTTAAAAGAATTAACTTGTCAATATGAACAATTAAATTTGTGAGAAGAAAATAAAATTTTAACATGAAAAGGTAAAAAAAAAAAAGTTATTTTAGAAGAGCTAAGATTTAAAGGAAAAAAATTAATGTATAAATTAAAATTTAAAAGTGATTAACAATTCCAGAATTTAAATAAAAAAGAGTGGCCAAGATATGTGTTCACTTTCAATAATGAAGACTTTATTATATAGGATTAGATTGTCTAATTGTTTAGCATTGAATGGTTGCAATTCTACAATCAGATTTGCTTATTTTGCGCTATATTTAATGTGTATTCATCCACCACTTGTAATTCAACACTTATTTTCGCAGCTTTGATCAATGATTACACACCAAGAGGACTGAACGTTGGTGCTTGTTCTGTCGTGGTCTGATGAGAAATACTAGTTTCACTAAAGTCTGCTCTGAACTGATAGCTCACGCTTCATTTGATCCCTCATTACTCTCCTCAGTATTTTGTTCGAAGATGTTCGAGGAAACTCTGCCACAATTTTAACAAGGCTTACCTGTAATGTAATGAAAACGGTTTGTGAACGCAAAATCAGTTAACTGTATCATCTAAAGTCACGTCATTTTCGTGAAAATCAAACAAGGATCAGACCTTAAACAAAGGATTAAGGTTGCTTTGAATGGCTTTAGTGAATTTCAACTTCAGAGTTTCTGCATTCGAATTGTATCCTTCCTTTAAAACTACAAATACAACCAGTTGTTCTGGGCCTCTATTTGCAGTTCCAACACTCACTGCAGCGGTCTCCAATATGCATTCATCAGCCCTGTCACAGACACGCTCAATTTCTACGGAACTTGTCTGCATATCAGAAACAAAATTCTAAGTAAAAAGAACAGCCAGTTCAAGAATGCCAAAGTAAGAACAAGGATCATGTTAGTTTAAGAATTTCTAAAATGTCTATGACCAGTTACTGGGTATCCCATCTTACTAAATTCATGCAGATCATGGACATGAAAGCTACAATCGCATTTTTACCCCATATGTGCAACTATTACAGACCTATCCTTCAAAAGCTTCATTCTCCAGTCAGAGTAGAACTGGGAGCAGGAAAAACATAAATCTATAAGGTGATTTATTGCCACAGGATGGCTTAATTACTATGGGAGATTAGTTAAATTTTCTTTTCTTTCAGAAACACTGGTTAAAAATTCCTCAGTAGTTTTTTATGCTGCATTCTCCGTGTAAGAGGGATACCTTTATTCCACCAAGATTCATGGTGTCATCAGCCCTCCCCTGTACAATGATATAGCCACCAACCGTTCTCTTGATTATATCTCCATGTCTCCTAAGAACCTGCTATTACATATACAAAGATAGACATGACAAACTATAACCATAATAATAGAAGACAGTAGTTAAATTACATACGTAGTCTATAGTCTATACTACTAATATATAATTTACAAAGAAGGGATTGTTTGAAAACCCTTAAAGAAAGTCTTACTGATCTACAATTAATTTTGATCATGATAGCTTGCACAAGCATTTACAGCATTTGATATTTGATAACAACCATAGGACAACTGAATTTCAGACTGAAAGATGTTTCTATCTGGTTTTGGTTTTCGATGTGTAATTTGTTAAGTGTGCATGAAAGCGTGCTTGTGAAGCGGGACTACAAAAAAGCCTTTAGTGCATAATTAACCACAAAATACTTCCAGATCGGTGGTGAAAGTGGTTCAGAATATGATATCCTTCACAAATGAAAGAATTAATAGTTCAAGCTAACTGGATCTAAATGTGAAAATCATTCTAAGCAAATTAATTGAAGATTAAAGTTCTACCTTCCCTTTATAAATGGGCATTCCCTTAAAGTAAACCTCCTCATGATCAGCATTAAGCAATCGATCAGATGCTCCCAGAGAGAGAGGAAATAAGCCAACCTCACCAACACAAGCCACATCCTCTGGCTGTCATATTAGTCAAAGAGATCAAATAAATTAGAAACCAAAAATATAATTTATTGAAACCCAAAGATAGGTTTGCTATTATGAAGGTAAGTTGGTGAAATTCCTTGGATAGTTTGTATATCTCTAGTGAAGGTGCAATCAATCCAATTGGGAAAAGTAGGAAATTTCAAAAGAATTAAGAGTGCAATGGGGAATTCAGGTTAAAGAAAATAATTGGGGGTCAAAAGGTTAGCAAAAAGACTAGACTTATACAGAAACAAGTGGTAAAAGAGAATTCAAGTGGAGAATTTGAATTGATGAGCATTAGGAATTCAGGAAGCTAAGCCTAGATTTTGAGAGCATGGCTTCTGATTAGCCATTATGTTACTGACATATCATTTATGCTCCCTAGTCCAGAAGATGTAAAAGCACATGTCATTACCCATCGCAAACAACAGAATTGCACCCAGGTATGGAATGATCGTGATATAATATCATGACCAAAGAAAAACTATCAAGAAAATCTCTTACATAAGGAACTCCATTTTCGTCAAAAATGAGAAAGCCAGTTGTCATTGATGCGGTGCTAAATGTTCCAAAAGCTTGAGGCTGTAGGGGACTTCCTGCAATGTAGCTAGATGCAAGCTCAGTGCCTCCACACAGTTCAACGATAGGATTGTAATAAGCTTTTGAAGAAAGCCATAGATCATCATCAACATTTGATGTTTCACCACTGGAACAAAATGACCTGCATATAACCGCAGTTCAGTTCATTTTTCTTATGAATACTTGGGTATTTAAATTACTGAGATATTACTTTATCTTTGTCCAATCCAAGCCCTCCATACACTGTGTACTCTTCCAAGCTTTTACTAAGCTCGGAACTGTTCCCAAAATGGTAACCCCTGCATCCTGAACAACTGTAATTCAATAAATAAGGTTGTACTTTGGTTTGATGCATCAAATTCTATTGATGCAGAATACAACATCAACCATTGCAATTATGATGACACTTTCACTTTCAGTTCTGTATTAATGTCTGACCTAAGTCCTATCCTAACCTTAGCCAACTCCTTTTGTTGCTAAAATGTTTCACTTTCAGTTATTGATTAAAGTATTGCCCAGTACATCACAGTATCACAAAGGAGATAGGACCTACAGCAGCTAATCAGTTTTTTTCATTCGTAAATTTTTAAGGACTACGTCTAGTCTAGTTCCCACTTTGTTCTATTCTCAGAACTAACTAGCATTTACATTTTGGTTTGTATTTCCAACTTTTTAGGTGATTAAAAAATAATTATAACTATATAGAAGAAAATAAAAATAAAAAGATTTGATTGTATTTAGCAAAAACTATACAGGGAATGAAATATTTGATTTGCGGGACTAACCTGAACAAATTTTCCAAAATCACGGCCTTGAGGAGATCCATGGTACAGAGCAAGAGTTGCACCAGTCAGAAAACAATGATACAATACAGTTGGTCCTATCACCCATCCTAAATTTGTAGGCCAGCAATAGACATCTCCAGCTTGAACATCAATGGCTGCCCATCCATCAGCAGCACTTCGGATTGGTGCAAGTTGAGTCCAAGGAATAGCTTTTGGATCTCCTGGAAAAAGCCAAAATATAACCAGAAAATCATTAGAATGGTAGTCTATACCTGATACATTGTAAGGGGGAATCTTCACCTGTGGTTCCAGAAGAGAATAGTATATTAGTGACGGAATCGACTGATTGATAGATTGGAGAGTAATGATCTGATCTGTCAACGGTTAAATGTTAGGATGAGACAAAATACGAAAGAAATAATGCAATTTCTTTCTCTTTTCTGTTTAGACTAGGATATTGTTTAATGAACACATTGTAATATGCATTACCTGGTGTTCTTAGTCTTCGAAACGGCAGAAGAGAGAAAACCTTTCCATGATAAGTCCTGTTCTCTTAACTGTACTCCTACGTCATCACCTATCACTGGGAGCACAATAACTTTACATGCAGCTGCTTCAATGACTCGACTGCAAGGAGAATATGCAGAATGAGGTTTCCGGTGGTCTATGTGCTCAAAGATCAATCATAAATATATCTAATAAACATTCAACTATGGCCACTACCAAGATCGACATTTTTAATCTTTTCAAGTTTTGGATGGCAAAGCAATCTTAGAGAGGCATTCAAGTAGGTATTGGTTAGATCTTGAATATCTAGAATGCAAACTTAGGTCAAAGAGCAGCACTAGTACATTCATTTCAGACATTTCTGAACAACATTGGTTGAGGAGAGTCTATATACATTAGAATGCCTTGAAAATATTGATTTTCATAATTCAAGTTAAAAGGAGAGTTTACTTCCACCTTTGGTGCATTTCAATCAATGGCTAATTAATTTTGTTGCCAATGAATAGGTCTGTTCAGATACACAAACTCCAATCTAGAGATTATAACTAGCATTTAGAACAATAATCAAATATCACAGAGCAGACACATAAAATTGGCCAACTATAATCTGAACAGATAAATTAAACAAGACATCATAACAGCACCCCATGCCCATGTAAAATATGACTTCAATATTCCAAAGTTGTATATAAAAAACACAGCAAAAGGTAAAATGCTAATAATTTTCTACCTGTACAAAGGAAATTTTCTGCCGCCTCTTGATATGAAATCCTGAAAACAGATTACAGTTGAGAGATATACAACAATCTCAATTTGTTGCTTAAAAATTGGCAAATTGATAGAAATACGATCTAATATTGCATGAAACATGGAATTAACCCAGAGATTACCGAAACTCAAATAAGAAAGAAACAGAAATGGAGCATTACAGTAAGTAGGCTAGCTCTTCAAGTGGCTAGCTTGCTCCCAAAGACCACTCTTCCCACTGAATTTTTGCCTGCCTTTCCTCTCCCATTCTCTCTGCCTTCAATACTAACAAACATCACACCTTCCCCGCTCTTCCTCTTCCCATTGTCACTTGTCTAGGCAGTTCCAAGAAAATATCTTATGCTTATATCCTTTTTCCTCAACTCCCATGCTCACGTGAGTCATTATTTACTACTTTCCCTCCATTTCTCCTCACATAGGCTCTAGTGATAGTAGGTTATCGATTAGAAGTTGATCATATTGTTAAAATTATGGGGTTATAGGTATAGAGAAAGGAAGATGGATAAAGAGATTGAAACACAGTTGATATTAACTGAGATGCATTACATGTGTTGAGATGTAATACAAAGATCTATTAGCAAGTGATCCACTTCTCTAATAGACAGCGTGACTGTTGAGTCTTGTCAAACAAAGTGTCACCACGTATCCAATGAAAATGAAACTTTCCAAGGCAAAACAAAGATTTGGTAATTTCGGCATTGTTCATGCATACTAAATACTATTATACTCATAAATTGGTAAATGAGAAAGAACAAGACATCTCCAATTATTTCTAAATATTAAATAGTTTCAATTCAATCAACATTAGCTTTGCAATTGAAGTCAAACACAAAGCACCAAATATAAAGATTAAAGATCACCTGTGTGAAAATACCCTTTGCTTTAGAAACACGGAGGCGAGTTGCAATTTCCTTTGGTGCAAAGCTATCAGCTATTGATACAACAACACATCCTGCAAGAACAATGGCTAGATATATAATCACAGCATTGACTGTCATCTGCATGTCAATAGCGATTGGATCTCCCTTCGAGAATGTGGCATCGATTGCATTTGCTACCAACCTGGAAATAACATGGCAAACACGAGAAGAAGGAGATAAAACATTTCATACCGTTTAAGAAAAAATCAAGAAACGAGCTTGTGTGTGAGGATTAAAATAAGCAAGAGAGTGAGTTGAAAAGCTTACATGACTTGATGTCGGAGTTGTTGGAGAGTGATACGGTTAACCTCGGAATGATCAAAGCGCTCGTCTCTCCAAACGATGGCGACACTGTGATCGGGTCTGTAGGGGTGTGAGGAGGGTTGCAAGCAGCAGTCGGCAATGTTGAGGACAGAACCGGGAAGCCAAGTGCCTCCACGTTTTGAGGGATCAGAAGTATCCAAAATGCAGTTGGGAGGTTGAACAAAGGAGAGTGAGAGTTCATTGAGGATGAGGGACCAGTAGAGCTGAGGGTGTTGAACAGAGAAACTATGAAAGAGAGAATAACTAGTAATGGGATCTTTGTAGGAAGCTCCTAAAAGCTTAGGGGCGTGAGTTTCCATGAGACGACCCAGGTTGGTGCGTTTGGACTGCTCTCTGCATAAAAAAGTGGATTTTGATATGAGAAAGATATGATATGATATGAGAATAAGCAAAAGAAAGACTTACAGAGAAGGGAACCAATAAAGGGGTGGGAGAGCATCTGCATGGTGGGAATGGAAAGCAGAGTGATAGACAGAGTAGTAGAGAAGCTGATGCAAGGGATGTGGGTAGGATGGTTTCAACACTCTGCGACTCACAAGTTGGCGCCATATGTCTGAGGGTTGGGATGCTGATAGGGAGAGGATTTCCCTCACGACGCCGTACAAATCGTTGGCTTCTGACGCAGTTAAGCCAGCCTTCACTAAGTCTTCAACTCCCAATTCTCTTACGCTCTTACCCATCTCTTTCTCTTTCTATGTGTGTGTGTGTGTTAAGACAGAGAGAGTAGGAACATTATTGAATGGAAGTTGTTGTTAGAATATGAGGTCACCAAGTTGACAACGCAGACGCAGTGCCTCGGCATCACCTAACACTGTGAGGAGGTAGGTGATAAGTGACAAGTGAATAGGCAGGTGCACCCAACGGAAAACTAACAAGGGTCTTCGAACCATCCTTAGCAGGAGTAGTGATAACTGACAAATACCTGAACTTGCTTTGTTTGAATGGAATACGAGGTGAAAAATATACGTTGTTTGGATAAATAAAAAAAAATACAAAAGAGACCAGAAAAAAGTAATTTACATGAAAAAATGTTTTATATTTATAAAAAATTAAAAATTGCAGTATAATATTTTTGTTCAGTGTTATTTTGATGAGTCCCATTTAATTTATTTTCTTTTCTTTCACAAAACAACAAAATATCTAAATAAGGATGTTATACTCTTCTGAAAAATCACTCCTGTGGCAAGGAAAGGAAACTTTTCTTTGTTAACGTGACTGAGTTGAAAATTGGAATTCAGAATAGGTTACCTTGTTGACCACGTGCTCCTCCTATTATTACACCTACCCAAGTTTTAGATATGGGTATTAATGCTCTTTCTTATTTGTTATTGAGTTTTGATGTTATATAAGTAGTATTAATGATTTTTTTAACGAACTTTGGTTTAATATTTTTATTATGTAGTATTGTTTTATATCGACTCGTTATTTTGATATATTTTAATTATTTAATAAAATCCGTACGAAACTTTATTTAATAATAAAAAATTTAAAATTTATATTGAAGGGTATGTTTTAGGTATTTATTGTTTTATGTTATAAGAAAAAGGGTACATCGAAGATGATTGTTATAGGGGCAAAAAGTAAAGAAGTTGGAATGATGTGGTATGATAACATAGGAACATAGGGGAGTGTGACTGTGTGAGATGAGAGTGAGGGGTGATGATGTTGGATACTAAGAGGGTTTTGGAGCGTCAACTGATGAGTATTCTCCATTGTTGCACCAACCTCAACCACGTCAAACAAGTTCATGCCAACATCTACCGCAACAACCTCCACCAATGTTCCTACGTTATCACAAAGCTCCTTCGCGTTCTCACCATCTTCCCCCACGTTCCCCTCCACTCCTACCCTCGCCTTCTCTTCTCGCAGGTTCATTCTCCAAACCCATTTCTATGGACCGCTCTCATTCGCGCCTACGCTCTTCGAGGACCCCTTTTTGAAGCGCTTCGTTTGTACGCTTCTATGAGGAAGCAACGCAGCGGTCCCGTCTCCTTTACCTTCTCTGCTCTGCTTTCCGCTTGTGGCGTTGCTCAAGAAGCCGCTTTGGGCGCGCAGCTCCATGCCCAGACACTCTTGTTAGGTGGGTTCGCGTCTGATTTGTACGTCAACAACACCCTGATTGATATGTACGTGAAATGTGGGTTTTTGCATTGTGCGCGCAAGGTGTTCGATGAAATGCCTAAACGGGATGTGGTTTCTTGGACGGAGTTGATTGTTGCCTACGCAAGGAGTGGTGATATGGAGTCCGCGCAGGAATTGTTTGATGGGTTGCCTGGGAAGGATATGGTGGCTTGGACTGCAATGGTCAATGGGTATGCCCAGAATGCCATGCCAAAGAAAGCGTTGGAGTTTTTTCAGCGGTTGCAAAATGCGGGTATAGAGATCGATCAGGTTACCTTGGTTGGTGTCATATCAGCTTGTGCTCAATTGGGTGCATCTAAGTATGCTAACTGGATTAGGGACATTGCTGAGAGTTCTGGATTTGGGGCAGCGAGTAATGTCCTTGTGGGATCAGCATTGATTGACATGTACTCGAAATGCGGTAGTGTGGAGGAGGCATATAATGTCTTTAAAGGAATGAAGGAAAGAAATGTGTTTTCTTACAGTTCCATGATTGTGGGGTTTGCAGTACATGGCCGTGCTCATGCGGCAATTAAGTTATTTTATGAAATGTTGGAAACAGAGATAAAACCAAATCATGTTACTTTTGTAGGGGTGCTTACAGCGTGCAGTCACTCAGGCATGGTAGACCAAGGTCAGCAGCTTTTTGCTACCATGGAAAGATGTTTTGGTGTTGCTCCAACTACAGATCATTACGCTTGCATGGCTGATCTTCTTGGCCGAGCTGGACTCTTGGAAAAAGCACTTCGGCTTGTTGAGGCAATGCCTATGGAGCCCAATGGAGCTGTGTGGGGAGCGCTTCTTGGAGCGTCACACGTCCATGGGAACCCTGATGTTGCCGAAATTGCTTCAAGCCATTTATTTGAGCTTGAACCTGATAATATAGGAAATTATTTATTACTTTCTAACACTTATGCATCAGCTGGAAGATGGGATGACGTGTCAAGGGTCAGGAAATTGATGAGAGGTAAAAAATTGAAGAAAAATCCAGGGTGTAGCTGGGTTGAAGCAAAAAATGGTATGGTTCACGAGTTCTTTGCTGGTGATGTGAAACATCCAGAAATTAATGAGATAAAGAAGGAATTAGATGATCTTTTGGAAAGACTGAAGGCTATTGGATACCAGCCTAACCTAGGATCGGTGCCATATGATATTAATGATAAAGAAAAGAGGCTTGTGTTAATGGCTCATAGTGAAAAACTAGCTTTAGCTTTTGGATTGCTGAATACTGATGCTGGTTCCACTATAAAGATTATGAAGAACGTTAGGATATGTGAGGATTGTCATATTCTAATGTGTGGCGCATCAAAAGTTACAGGAAGGAAAATAGTTGTGAGGGATAACATGAGATTCCACCACTTTCTTAATGGGGCTTGCTCATGTAATAATTTTTGGTAACCAAGGCGTAGGTCATATGCGGATGATAAGCTGAGATATTGGTGTTGGAAGAATAACTTTGAAATGGGAGAGTGACCATTTTTTATTTTTGATAAATTAGAGGCATGTAAAGAATTGCTTTACGGTTGCCCAGAGATCAGCTATCAGATAAGGATATTGAAAATTTTAGATCAACTGCACAACTGTTCATTGTACAGGGTTGTGCAATTTATCATTGAGAAGAATTAAAGATGGAGAGGGAAGGCAAGCAAGGGCAACTAGCAAACAATTTTTGTTGTTGGCAAAGGAAAATTTGTTAGAGACTCAAGATGAATGCAATTATCAATTAGTAACATCAAGGTTAGTAATAGAAAGCGTACTATATTGAACATTGAATATGGTGGCATCCTGAAGCAGTGACAAATAAAACAATGGTTAGTAATAGAAAGTCAGTCATGAAGAGATACTGAAGAAACAAGCCAAAGGAAGCCCTCATAGTTTTGGTCTTTAATTTGACCCGGTCTATTGAAGATCTATCTCAAATAAGTCGGCTAAATAGATAGCATAGCAGGCTGCTAGAGAATGCCTTAAAACAATGAGCTATGATTTTATGGGTAGCTCTAGCAAAAATAGATTTAGTTTTTCTTAATGAATTAATTTATTACTTTTCAAAAGAAAGTGCCCGTCTTGGTATTACACTGTAATCATTCTTAAGATATATAATAATATTATTATTTAAAAGATTATTTGGACCAACAGGCAAACGGTGTGTAATGTTTTTCTCCACATGTGATTTTAATTGCAATGGGAAATTTATAAATAGAGGAGGTTAAATTTAGATATTTCCGTGATGCTAATCTAAAATATTTTGGGAGATGATAATCGAGTTAAAATCACTTTTTATTTTAATTTAACATATACCCATAAAAGAATGAGTCAATTTTTTTTTATCTTTTGCAAATGCCCCTTTCTCTTCCTCCAAAAGGAAAGATGCCCCTTCCCCTCCCCCAAAAGAGAATACAACATTGGCAATTGACTTATCATCCTCAGTTTATTCATTAAGGGTGGATAAAGTGATTTGCTTTTAATACTGGCTAATTTGGAGTTTAGTTATTTAAACAAAAAACATACAAGCATCAAAATATTGTGTTAAAATTTAAATGGGTTTTCTAGACAATTTTTCTCTTAAACCTTATAACCAACCCGGTCCTTTTATAAATAAAACTTTTTTAATATTAAAAATATGAATTTTCTTTTGCTATGTGAAATAAATTAACTCAAACAGATAATATAAGTTTTGAAAAGACTAAAAAGTAGTTTAATGGTATTTTTTTTAGTTTTTTTTCATAAACTACCTTTTAGTTTTTAAAACAAATGTTAAAACTGTTTGCTTTTTGTTTTATTTAAAATGCTCTTGTTAAAGTGTTTTTTTACTTTTTATTCATTAATCAAAGCCTTAAGGGCATTGATTAGTGCTTACTTTTTAAAAGAAATAAATTACTACTTTCTTTCTTATTTATTGGTTCAAAAATCAAAGAAAAACTTGTTTTTAATTATCTATCCCTGTAAAATTTTAAAATAATATAAATTATTATTTTTGAATACTATCTTTTTTGCTTATATTGAAACTCTAAGTACAATAATAAAAACACTTGAACTCTATTGAGTAAAGTCAACTTAAAAACTAATAAGTCATTATTAATTTATTGAATTAGATTTTTTTGATAAATTTAATTTTACAATTAGTTAAAATATATTAAATGAATAAAAATAACTATTTTGTATGAAAGAAATGTATTTAAAAAATATATAAAATAAATTAAATTCTTTTAAAATATTTTTTATAAATTAACTTTTAAAATATACACATTTTATTTATTTGTTTGTTTAAAAATTTAATCTGCTAATTTATTAATAAAAAAAATACAAGCTCGTAAATAAACTTTAAATTTGTATTACTAAATGTACTCTCAGTCACATAATCCAAAATTTAGAGAAAAATCATTAATAAAAACTAAATTAGTAAATTCATCAAATAATTTTAATAAAATAATTAATTTTTTATTCTGTATAATGTTTTCTTTTCATTAAGAGATAAATAAAAACAGGATAATATTAAATTATTTTAAAAAAATTAACTATTCTTTATGTAGACAAACACAAACAAACATGGGCATAATTAAGGGATCCGGATTTTCCGGGTCCAAGTTGGGCTCGTGAAGACATTATTAGTGACAGCTTATTTTTGAGTTCAATAAAGTTAAACTTATTAAAATATATTTTAATTTATTAAATATAATTATAATATACCAAATAATGATTTGGTTCACTCACTAAAAATTATAATAAAAAATATTATAATTTTTTGAAAATAATTTGTTATAAATTTATTTAAAATTTACTTCCTTTATTTTTTTATCCGTTACATTTTAACATATTTATTTATTTATCTATCACTTTTAACTTACGACAATATTAGTTTTTCTTTTTATTAATTTAAGTTTTAATTTAAAATAAAAGAACAATTAATTGATAAGAAATATAAAAATTAATAAAATTTAGATGATAAATTTACTAAAAATGATAATATTAAATATATCCTTAATTCATGTAAAAAAATCTTAAAATAAAAAATTTTAAAATAGAAAAAGTAAATATTGTTTACTAAAATGTGTGTTTATCTGTATTTTTAGTCACTATATTTTAATTTATGTATGATTTTATTTTTAATTTAAATTATTCACATTTATAGTTTTTAGTTTATCAATTGTTTAAATTAAGTTCACGTATGTTACATCCAATAACTAACAAAATTATAATAAAAGCATAATATGTTATTAATTTGCATAAATTAAAAAATATTTTATTTTTATTTAATTTATATTTTGTAAATATATTTATATTAATGATATATGTTGCATTTTTTTATATTTTTTATTAATTATTAAAACAAAATTTGTAGTGAATGATTTAATTTAAAAATCATAAAAATAAATATAAGTAGTTAAAATAAGAGAGATTAAAATCACATTGAGATTTAGATATACAATTGAAAAAATACAAAACATAATTTTCTAACGTCCAATCAAACATAAACTAAATTTTCCAACCTGCTTACACAGTCTTCACATTCCCATTTGATTAAAGGATGATGAGCTAATTGATTAACTTTCACTTCAAATATTAAAATTGTTCCAACTTGTTCTGTCCAACAATGAAAATCCAAACACGGAAGGCATTCATAACCAATAGTGCCAATATTATATTCTAATGCACAACTTAACTTTGATATATTTTTTTTGGTGCCCAACTGATAGATCAGAATAAGTTGTTTTTATACTAAAGTTTATTTGTACAAAAGGTTAGACTTTAATGTAGACTTCTTTCATTTTTATAAATGGAACTTCTCTAAGATAGATTCAAGCTAACCAAGTAAATTTTGAAAATCAAAAGGAAAATCTTTTTATATTCTTTATAAATTAAAAAATATTTTTTTTTTTAGAGTTTAAAATTATTTAGTTATTTTTTAAAAAATTAAAATTTGTGTTTAAAAAAAAAAATACTCACACAAACGATCAGGGTAGTACTATTTGGGCATGATTAGGCCTTGTTGTCTTACATGGCAAATGGCATATATCAGTTCTGAAAACGAATATCATTTAGATTCCAATTCATTGCTTTCACATTTTCATTTCTTTAGAGGATGATGACCAAACTAATTAACTCCCACTTTGAATATTATATCTTTCCCACTCATTATGCTCAACAATGAAAGCATGCATAACCAATAATGCCAATATTATATTCTTATGCACAACTTAACTTTTTTTCCCCGGCAATGGTACAAATTTTCCACATAGAACAATTGTCTCTTTTTCTAAAATATCTAAGTATCCCCCAACTTTTAAATTTTAGGTTCTTCCTTTACAATTGATCTAAATTATGATTGCACATTAATATTTTGTTTATATCAGTAACTGGTTATGATTGGTATCAAGTATTGTTTAAATGGCATACGCCATCTTTCTTAATGGTGACAAATTGACAATTTACACGCTTTAAACATCCATGTGAATCCCTTACAGCTTGTATATTAAAATTCTTAATTATATAAGGTTATCAACATTTTTTTATTGTTTTTACATAAAATTTAAAGATGAAGTTGATAAATTATACATGACAGCGTGATTAGCCAGATTAAGTTTTAGTTTTATTTAAATGAATTTAACTCTTCTAAAATTAAAAAAAAAACATGTAAATTAACCAAGAAAGTATGTTATATTTTTATTTTATACACCTTTTTATTTTTAAAAAAGTTAAATACTGCTTAAATATAAAACAGCAAGTTGCCAATCAGTGACGTCAAAGGATACCATTGCATGCACCAATCAAAAGGCTGAAGATGTCAGGAACTTACAGTATAATTTTTTTTAATGAAATTCTTCTAATGTCCGCATTTCATCAAATAGGAGAGAAAGTAAATGAAAATAATATATTTAAAGAAATTAAAAACCTCGATTTTTCCAGTCTTGAGAAGAAAAAAAATAAATCCCCCTCTCAAAATACACACAACCCATAATATGTCTGATACAATAGAAATGGAAATAATGGAAATTACAACAAAAACAAAAACAAAAAACACTAGAGACAAACAGGAGGGGTGTTACAATCGATCAGCACCACGAATTAATCAGCCATCACTGCAATAATTCCAAATAAAAATTGATCAATCAATACATCAACATGTCAGCTTGGGGCATGATTGGTTGATTGATAGGCAGAGAGTTCCAAGCATCCATGAAGGCACAATCATTGAATTGGGTCTCTTGTGCCTCATCAAAGAGCAAGTAGTTGCTTGAGTTTATGAAATTTATGATTTCGTTGAGAGACTGCAACCTGTTGCTGAGTTCTGCCATCTGAACCCTGAGAATTGCATTCTCACCCTCCACCTTCAGATACAACTGTGTGGTGATTCCTATGCTTGTGCTTATTTGGGTGTTCTCCTTCTTCAGCTCATCCACTTGTGCACTAAGACCTTCTAGATGCTGCTGTTTCCTCATCCTTGATCTACGTGCCGATTCCCTATTGGATAACATTCTCTTTCTCTTCCTTTGTTCCATTATATCTCCCTCAGAACCTGAGGGAGAGTTTTGAAGAGAGCTTGAACCTGATGAATAAGCTCCCCTAGGAGAAGCCATGCTATATATATGTATGTATGTAATACTAATTAAGTTTTAATGATTCAATGTAATGTCAAAGGAAAAATTAAGAACAAGGCTAGAGAGACAAACTATGATTTGTTTTAAGGGTAGAAATATGTGTGAGGATTAGTTCATGAGAAAACGTAGAACCAGTAGAGGAAAACAACTGAGAAAGATTGCACCAAGTGTGTCCTGCGTCTGAGGGTGGAGTTTATGGTAAAGCCAGAGCGGAGGATCTCACAGATTACTGGAGACATTTGTGATGTATCTCAATCATTCATAACGGCATAAATATAGCTGTATTATGAACAAACAAGTTCCAAGTAGCTTTGTGCCAAATCAAATGCTGGAAGGAAGAAGGTTTGGTTTACGTGAGATGGGTATGGCAATTGATGGTTAAGGGATATGTGGCCTTGAAGATTGTTTGCAGGAGATATTTCTAGAGCTTGGAAAAGGGTGTCAAAAACTATGGGCAGAACAAACTTGAATTCTATAGGCAGAAGAAGATGATAAGAAGGAATAAGCAAAAATTAGAGGAAGGATAGATTTTGACCAATTTTTAGGAGGAGGATAAGATGAGAAAGGAAAGAGGTTTTGAAGGGATTCATTAGTGGAATTTATAGACAAAAAATTGCCCATTGTATTAATGGAATAAAATTAAATAATGCAAAAAAATTGGGCTGCGGATTTTGGTCCTTGATTTTTAGCTTTTTGGTGTGTGCTGCATAATAATAATAAAAAAGTCAATACAGATAAATAAGACAGTGAAAGCAAGAAAAGAAGGAAAGGACTGGGAAAGGGTCACACAGTAGAACGATGGTCACTGCTGCTGTTCATGTGCATGCGCAGTTTTATTTTATTATTTTCTTTATTTATTTATATATTTCCATTTACCAAATGGTAACCCAATATGACGGTGATCTACTACTTAGAAGCAGGACCACCCATTTGTTGTATTTATTATTATGGATCGAATCATAGGTAATGAATGGTAGCTGTAGTTCCTCTTTTTTAATATTAGTCTTTTGGTCTTCCTTTTTATTCTTGGTGCTCCTTGGCGTCTTATGTTGTTCTCTTTGTTATTACCTATGGCCAATCATCTATGGCATTTGGATGAGCTGCAAAAGCTTTTGACCTCTTCCTATAAACTCATTTTATTTTAACATCAATTTCAGCTTCAGATTATTTTTTTTCCCATTGAGAAACATTTGAAGTGTGCATAAAATTTATCGTCATTTAAAATAAATAGGTTACTTCAACATATAATATGTTCTAACTAGCATGTTGTTTTAATGAAACAACCGTAGGTTTCAACACTTCTTCCACGGAGTGATAAATATAAGTAAAAAGTATTGAAGATAGAAACTAACCCACTCATTCTCATAATCTATCTTTACATATAATTGACACGTTGAGAGAATGAATTTTTGAGGATTTTTATAAGACAAAAGAATTAGTATAAAAATATTTATTTTTTATATAAATTAAAAATAACATTTTTTTCTTTTGAAGTTTGAAAAAGTTCTTTCATTTAATGTTTATAAAATTTAAAGAGATAAATAATTTTTAACTTATACAAATATTATTTATTTTTATACTAATTTTTTATAGAAACTTCTTATAAATTCACTCAAGCCGAATTATTCTCATTATCTAAATCTAATAAATAAAATAAAATCACTTAAAAGTCTGAAACTGAATTTACATATTTTGAAACAGCCTAATAGTTCTCTGTAAATATTTTAACATTCTAAAATATATAAAAGAAGGAAAAATTAAAAATATTAACATTAATTTTAAGATCTAAAAATTAGTAGTTTTTTTTAAATAACCAGTTATTATATAAAAAATTTTAAAAGTAAAATAAAGAATTTTTAATAAAAAATATATTTTTATTTTTATATACTTAAAATTAATCCAAATTTGATGTTGACAAAAATAGTTAATTCAAAAAGTAATGTACGTAAAAGTTGCAGATTCTTTAGAGCCGTGTCATGCATTGATTATAAAGGATTATAAATAGATATATAATTTGCAATAGGCTTAGGTTTAAGTTTATTTGTTATTGATATATGCCAAAAAAAATGCCATGGAATCACAAAATTCATTTTAATTGCTAAAATATCCTTTTCATCTTGTTCTTTGACATATAAAGTTTTGTACAAATAATTAAAAAAATGCTTAGTATTCTAAATATCATAAAAAATCATGAGATAACTTTCTATTATATCTTTCATTTATTAATAATTAATATCTCTTTTATTCATTATTTTTATAAAAAAATAATCATCCATTAATTTTATAAAATGATAATAAAAATTAAACATTCATTAGTTGAATTTAGAGTTTTGACGACAGAAATGAATATTTGATATACGATATGCATTATTGTAGAATAAGCTAGCACATGGTTGGAGTTGTGGGTTATGGGTTGTTGGAAAATAAAGAAAAAGGTTTCCGACCAAAATCCAGTAGGGTGAGCATATGCCATTGCTACGCTGTTATTAATATATTATATGCTTCAAAGTTCAAACCATCTCTGCAAGTAAACAACCTTTTTCAAACCTGCATGAGTTGGGTGTCACTCATTTTCATCGTTATGCGTTGTTTCTCAGAAGCTTCATACATCTCTATTATAAACCTTATCACTTAAGTCATCTCCCAACGCCCCCCAAATCTTATTTTAATCGTCAAAACACTCGTCACTACTCCTGCTTCTGGAATATCTACGTACCAAGTGCTTTTCACGTGCTACAATTCAGATATACACTTAATTTGCCTTATATATGTCCAAACTAGGATTATTTTTTTAATAAACGATGAATTAAAGTTAATATATAAATATGGTGTCTCTTACAATAGCCTTTCCTCAGCAGCTAAAAAATCATTTCCGTTGTGCCAATTGTCCATAAAATGGTAAATTTTGATGGCAAGCACAAGTAGATGGCTGCTATAGTTCATCTTTTCTGACTGACGATGATCTCACTGCGTCAATTATCTGTAAACTTATTTTATTGTTCAATATTATTGGATGAAGACTACACTCTCTTATAGGATATTTGAAAAAGGGAAAGGAAGGGAAAAGATAAAATTGCTATTTTAAATAAATATATTTTAAATTAACATTTTTAAAAAAATAAAAATTGATATATAACATAAATCTAATATATTAATTATGTTTTTATATTAAAATTAAAAAGTATATCCTCCCTTCTACTTTTTCTCTCCAAAGACCCCCAAACAGTCCCTAAACATGCCCCTCGAAGAAGTCCTTAAACATGGTCAAATGCTCTTAAATGTAAGGTAATGTAACTATTGTAAGAGCACACTTATCATGTGTCTCAAAACACAGCTACTCCCAACAATAGAAGCCAAATGTAACATAACATACACAAAATAGTAAACAGAACCCGTGAACGAACTCAAGATTTGGCATATCACTGGGGCAGCATCACCTCACCACACGACAGCATGTTACAATAAACCTACAAACAGTGACTGTTGCACAAAAGTACGTCGACTGTTATCCCATCAAACGCACTTTATTTAGTTTGAGGAAAATTTATTGAAAAAACAATATAAATAGAAAGAAAATAGCGGAAAAAAAAGACTAATAGTTATTTAATATGAAAGAAAATAAATTTAATTTTAATTAATCTTAAGTTTAATGAGTGAAAAGTTTTTAGTAATGTGCCTTTAAAGGGGTGGACCAAAAAGTCAAACATGGTTTAAACACATCCGTTAAAGGGTAAGGTTGAAGTTGGACTCCTATTAATTATCTTCTTATTACTATCTCTGATTTTTTTTTTTACTAGACACTTTTAAAACATTTCTATAGTTTTTAATATAAAATTATTTTAAAAGCTTTAGAAGCATTTTTTTTTTATATTTGCTTTTCATTAATATTAAACTTTTTTAACTTCTCAACGATTAAAATGATAATAAAATTTGACTTTAAATAAGAATAAACTTATAATGTTATAATTATCTTTTCAAAAAATAATATATAAATTAATTGTAATAAATTTTCTTAATCTGCATAATTTAATTAAAATACTATTTTATAAATAAGACCAAAAGGAGCTTTTATTAAGTCTTGCAGCATATATTAGCATTTCTTTCTAGGGAGGGGGGGGGGGAGAATGTTAATTTCATTCCCATCTAGATTTATGCTAATGCTAATATCAATTTACTTTTTGAAATAAAAGGAAGGAAACAGAAAGCCAAAAAAAAGCCAAAACCTACTTAACTTGACACTTTAAGGTAAATAACTTAATAAAGAACTTTAAGTTATTTACCTGAAAGTGTCTTAAATGCATTTTGGTTCAATCGAATGATCCCGTAATTGAAGACCAAGTATAAATCTACTTTCATGTTACAGAGAAAAGCTGTGTTATTTAAGGAAAGCATCACCTCAGAAACATGGATATAGTCCAAATTATCATACTCTTTTCTGTTAAATTAAAGGAAACAACTGATGAAAAATGAAATAGTTCAAATGTGTTTAGCCGAAACACCAAAACAGTATGCATGGCTATATACAAGTTACAAGATGTCACTATCCTTTTGGAGACACCATATTAAAACAATCTCATGCAAGTACAAAATTCGGCAGCTAAGTCCTTACTTTAAGATTACAGTTTGTCTAAAGAAAAACAAGAATTACTCCTGGAGAGACAAATTATGTGAAGCAACAGGACTAGAAAGCCTTGGAAGAATCAGCTATGCAGTAGCAGAAGCAAATCATCTATGATGCGTTGGCAGAAGCTGCTTCAGGATGATAATGAAGCATTTCATTCCACATCATTTCCCTAATCATTTGTTCTCCCCAATTTTCATCTATGTCAAGACTGATGGGAACCTGAGCAGGAGGGTTACACCTTGGATCATATAGGCCAGCCATATAAGGGTGTTGGAGAGCTTCTAAGACAGTAATTCTCTTAGTTGGATCAAATACAAGCATTTTTTGCAACAAATCTATGGCTAATGGATCTGCTTGTGGGTACAATTGAGAGAAGTGTCTGCCCCTAGTTTGGGGCAGTGATTTGATAAACCTCCTGGCTTTTGAATTATCAATAAACTCAAGATCAGATTCATGCTGGCTTCCAAGAACGCTTATAATTAGTTTCAGTTGGTTGAGGCACTCGGTTCCAGGGAAGATTGGCTTTCTACCAAGAATCTCAGCAAAAATGCACCCTACAGACCACACATCAATAGAGGTTCCATAATTGTCACAGCATAACAAGAGTTCTGGTGCACGATACCAGCGAGTGACAACATACTCTGTCATAAACTGCCCATCAACTCCATTGGTTCGTGCAAGCCCAAAGTCACATATCTTCAAATCACAGTTGGCATTGATGAGCAGATTCCCAGGCTTCAAGTCCCGGTGAAGAATATTTGCAGAATGAAGATATTTAAGACCTCGAAGGAGCTAAAGCAAGAGTTTGTTGTTAGTATCAATCACCAAAATAGTTAAAATATGCAGATATTAGAAATTCATAGAAAATTAAATGCTTTCTACTTGTACATTATTAATATCAATCCAGTTCAACATTCTAGGGACAAGATGAGCAACAATTATAGTCCATAATACGTTTTTTTCATAAGATGTTTGATCCTTCAAGCAAACAATGTTAAGGTCACATCGACTTCCCAATTTGGCCTATGGTTTTTACTGTCTAGTCCGTGCAGCTACAAGGAGTCCAATTCTCTTCAACTTGAAGGATGCCAGAACGATGAAATTAAGAAAAGGATAATTAGAAGTGATATGAAACTTACTTAATCAAGCTTTTAGAATATTTATTGGTTATTCAACATGTTAAAAGAGCTGAACTAAGAAATATTTCAGCTTTATTTTTCTGTATTGTAATGACATATGGTATTCAACCAATAGTACTGTTATGGGGGTTCTTTCCTAGTTATCGAACAAGATTAAAGACCTTTATTGCATACAAGAAATTCTGATTTACATTTTCCGTCTTGTCTTCACAGCTCACATTATAGCAGGAAATTTTGTCCATTGTTTTGCACTCTTTTTTTTTCTTCCTAGTCGTACTAGCTCTGCTATGTAAATTGATAATAATTCATTAGATGTGTGCTCATAAATCAAATAAAATGATTACAATCATTACTGTCAGAAAAAAGTGCATGCCTGATCCTCTTGTTAAAAATGGACTCGAAGATAGCCATTAACAACATCTGTAATATCTTCATTTCAGCTTCATGAACCAAGGTAGGACTTCTTAGACAATGGGACATTATCCAAAATTGTAGACGAAAACAGAATAAGAAGTGAAGAGAGTAATAACAATGATCACCAACAGTCACAGACGTGAACTAAAGAAAATGATAAACCTCTAAAAGAAACATCAATGATCTAATACTCAAGGTCTGAAGAAGAGAATTACAAATACTATATCTTACTTCACCTGAAAAATCATGGAACTGAAACACTAAATTCTTTGACTCTAAGTAACACGCATTCAAACTATAGAATATAAAGCCACAACTCAAATTGTTTCAACGCCAAGAAAACAACCAGATGATAGTGTATAAGAACGCATGAAAGAAGATATTCAATAGTTAATTTAATTCACTTAAGTTGTATGTTAATAACCGAAAATGGGGTGAATTCACTTTGAAAGATGGCAATGTCAATTAAACACTGAATATTTTATGCCTTTCTGCAAGTCTAAAAAATTCACAAAGCATAAATGTGAAGAAAGGAGCTAAAGGAATGGAAAATATCATAACAAATTGATTAGTACCTGAAACAAGAAATATTTGCAATGATCATTGGAAAGTGGCTGAGAGGACTTAATAATCTGATGAAGATCCGTATCCATTAGTTCATAGACCAAGTAGACATCCTTAAAACTTGTTCTCTGGATTGGCATCATGACATCTTTCAAAGCAATCACATTTTCATGGCGAATATGTCTAAGCAGCTTCAGTTCTCTTAAGGTTCTCAATGCATCAATAGAATTCTCAAATATATTACCAATCTTCTTAATTGCCACTTTCTCATTGGTCTCCCTATTGATGGAAGAGCACACCACACCATATGCTCCACGGCCAATAGGCTTGATTGGAACGTACTTCGTATCAATCTCAAATAATGTTTGCCATATTGTATAATAATGCTTCCCCTTTGGCTTAATTCTGTTGGGGGGTTCAACTAAAGTTGCCATTTTCCTGCAAATTAACAGCAGCACAATGTATTCTCAATAAGTGAACACACACAGGAGACTATTAATAAACTCATGAAAGTAAATTCATTAATATAAGCATGAATCATACGTTACTCTAACTGTGACAAGCAATCAACAGTCTGTTAAAGGTGGCATTAAACGAATATCAGAAACACAGTGCATATATATTCAGTGGTATTATTGCAGGAGAAAGGGTGAATCAATGGATACTTTATATGCCATGTAAGAGAAGGCTCGAATCTATTCTTACTTGCTATTTCTACATCTGGGTTTTGATCTTTTGATGTCACCTTGTCTCTTTTTAGAACTTATTCTCTCTAAGCCCATCTTTTTTGGATATCTTTTTTCACTTAAAAAATAGGAAAGATTAAATTTTTATCTTTACTCTTCCCCTGATTTCAGCCTTCAACAACCCACCCCAATAACAAAGAAACCAAATCAGATTGATTCCAAAAGAGTCAGAAAAGCGTTCATACCACAAAATTCAGCTTTCATCCCAGCATCTCCGCTCTCCCTGCAGCTCCGAGGCACCAAAAGCAAATCCAAAGACAAAGAATCCCACAGTTGATGCTGCTTCAAGTAAACGCTATGTTAAAAATAAAAAATGAAATTTGCACAGCCCATTCAATTATCCATAAAATGGATTGGATTCAAGAAGTGGGTTCCATATCATTTCAAATCTTATCATATAAACAATAATAAGTGTCTGAATAGTATCAAGATCAGGCTTCAGAAGAAAGAGGCGATAGGCATAGTCATCGTATTAATAAATAAATCATAACATATCCGTATGATGATGCTTACCTAGACACAAAGGCATAGAACGAAATAAAATAAAAATATAGAAAGAGGGTTTATTCAGAAAAGAAAGTGAGACAGTGCATTAACATTTTAAGTTAACATACCCCATGACTCACATGAGTCACGACGTCGACCCCAACCCACACGGCATTGGCATTTGGTAATTGGTATTATTGATTGGGTTTGCTTTGCTTTACCCATAAGAGAATGCCAAAAACGACACCTTACGATGTCTCTTAGGCCTTTAGGAACTACAAATCTAAAATGAAACGTGTCTTGTCTTTTTCTTTTCCACGTTAACGTTACATTCGCAAATTGGTTCTCCTTATTTTCATTCGGCCACAAACAATTTGGCAAGTTTCCTTTCAACTAATCTCTTGCAAATCTACCAAAATTATTTGTCAGACACGGATGCAAGTACCAACTCTATTACCATAACCTATTCAATGTTCACTTCGTTGTCGCTAGCCACTGCTACGTAGTGCTATTTCTATCCATAGACATTCCTCGTTTGTCCTCCTTGTTTTTACCGTCTTCAATTTCCAATTCTAACTCCATTTTATTACTAACTAGCACGCTAGAGATTTCTTTTTACAAAATATTCATGGGGTATATCCATTCAAATCACCTGATCCAAACATTTATTAAGTGATAAATCTTATAATAAATTTTCAATTTCAATTTTATTATTTTTTATTATTTATCAACTTTCTTTTTTTTTTTACCTTTTTCAGTGGTTGGCCATTCAATTTATGACCTAGAAGACAGCTAACAAAAAATAATAATTACAAGTTCAATTAAATTCTGAAAGAGTAGGATTAGGTGCACATCAAGCACTATCATCATTGTACTGCTGTTTAACTATTCCTCTAAAATTGAAACTCCTGGGAATTTTCTTATTGAATTTTTCCCAAAAAATTTTCCATCCCCTCGTTAATTAATCTGAATTCGTCAATTGGAACTTGGAAAATCACTCCCAAGGGCTCGTATTAAGGTTGTAAACACTACGTAATCTATTTTAAATTTTCTATTGACATTTAACCGTGTTCTAACTTCTAACTAAATTTTCCATTTTTTGGTTTCGCATAAAATATATAGGCCATAGTTGTATTAGCCAATAATACCTACAATTCAATTATCAGGATAGTTATTTGATTATATTCGACTGACTCGTTGACCCATCTATTTTGATTTGACTTTTCCAGTCCAGTTTTACTCATGAATCATGATGGATATCATAGCTGCCTAGTAACTACACGTTTGGGAACTTTTTTTCTATGAAAATAATCATTTTAATATTTTTTGAAAAATAATGAAAATAAATTAGTTTCTTTAAAATAAGTTTAACCAAACACGTGTTAAACATGACAATATGATTTTTATACATATTGTTAGTTCATTTAACCTATGAAAAATAATAATTTAAATTTTTTAAACCAAATCTTCCAAAATCAAGTTATAAATTTACTTAAGTATATTGAGACAATCAATGTAATGGATTAATCTTAAAATATGTTAAAAAGATAATTTTTATATATTTTTAAAAGGATTACTTGTTATATATGGTATTTAAATATTATATAGAAATATATTATTTTAAAAAAGATTATAGAAATATAAGATTTAAAAATTACCTATACTAATTTTTGGTATAATTATAAAAATTCAAAAATAAAATATTAAAAAATTGTTGCAATCAAACAATCGCAACGATACAATAAATACATGTTAAGAAAAAAAATATTTTAAAAATAAAATATTTTTTTAAAAAAATCAGAGACTACTAAAGTTTATTTTAAAAAAAATTTAAATTTTTTTTTAATATGATCTTTGAAATAAAAAATAAATTTAGAAGTTATTTACATGTAGAGAAAATATTAACACTTTATAATATTTATTTAAAAACAGTTATCTTAAATTAATTATACAAATTTATTTTAATTTTAAAAAATATTTATTTAACTCTTGAATGATAAATAAATTTTTTAAAATAAAAATAATTATTGTTTAGAGTCATATTTTTATATTATTTAATTTTATCTAAGTCGTATCGTAAAATTAAAAATTGTATTACAGCATTATCTAAGTCATATCAAATTAAAAATTAATTTTAAAAAATATATTAAATTATAAATACGCTTGAGATAGGTATCTAGACACGTATTGGTGTTAAATACATGTCTCGATACGGATACATTAACTATTTTGAAGTATGTGGGCATCATAGACAATATCTTATCCATCATTACAGAGAAAAATTAATAGTTAATTTGATTAATGTTCATGCATGAGACTCTATTGATTCTGCATATTCATTGCTTGGGTCATAGAGAATATCCTATCCATCGTTACAAACAAATTAGCCATATGAGCTAGTTAATTTGATTAATGTTCATGCATGAGACTATTCACCGTATTGTTATTAAATTTGAAGGTTTTTTTAAGATTTTTTTAAAATAAAATAATTTTAGTAACAACTATTTTGATTTTTTTAAAAATATTTTTAATTTTTAAAATATTTTTTAACACATTCTTATCTAACTGTTATGTGACGATCGTTTATTTGCGACAAAAATAATAAATTATCGTCGTTGATGATTTTTTAAAAAATAAAAAAATTAACGATAATAATTTTTAAAATAATAATTAAATATTTAAAAAGTAGTTAAAAGCTATTATTAATAATTTTTTGCCAATAATTATCAATCATCATCAATTTAAAAAAATCATATTTTTAATTAAAAATTATCTTTAATATATATAAAAATTATGGAAAACAAAATCGACATCTAACATGATGACTCATAAATTTATTCAATAATACTAACAATTTTTTATGACTTTTTAAATATTGGATTAAATGTTGTGTTTGAAGGCATGTTTTTAGATTAGAAAAAATTATTTTATGATATATTTTAAAAAAAATATTATTTTAACTTTTAAAAGAATACTGAATTAATTTATTAATTTTTTATAACTATTATAATATGAATATTTTTTTTACTTAAAAATATGTTTTTTTTAATCAATTAATCGAATCCTATGTTTGACAGAGACATATGATTTAACTCATCACTTTGATATTTGACTAGCTGCTGTATATTAAAGATATTGGTTAAAGAATTAAAATATAATATTATACTCTTTTATAATTTTTAATACATTCTTAACATAATATTTAATAAAAGATATTATTTTTTTATTAATATCTTAAAAAATACTTGTTAACCCTGCCAACTCTTTTCTATCTATCTAATACATTTAGATATGGTACATGATGATCCGTGTAATTCGTGCAATATAACAGATTTCCAAATGTTATTATTCAACCAAATCATTTTTTTAGCGTGTTGAACTATTACCGGATTAGTTTGATTCCACTAATAAATAATAATAATTTTTCATTCATTTTTTTTAGAAAATTTATATTATTTTATGAGTTTTATTTTCTGACCATTTATTTTTTTCAATCTATGATATAATAACTCAATTTTTTAATTAAATAACCTTTTACTTGAATAATTAGGGCTATTCAATAAGATAAATTTTAAAATTATATTTAAATATTTATTTAATAATAAATTTTATGATATCCTTAAAAAATTTTAGTATATTATATAGAAAAAATTCTAACAAATAATATTTAAATATATATTTAAATAATAAATTTATTTAATAATAAATTATTATATTTTTTAAATTTAAATAAGTTAAAGAACAGTTAAATTTTTAAAATAAGATGTAATTAAAATTAAACAAACTTAAATATAAAATAAAATAATAATATTATATTATATATTTTTTATATATTTAATTTTATTATTATTAATATTTAATTATTATATTAATATATTATGTTAGAATATTTTTATTTATAATAAATAAAAATTACTTAAATATAAATTATATTTTATTTAAAATTAAAAATTTATAAAAAATTCAACATATAATAATAATGATAATAATAGAATCATATAACAAATAATATAAATTATATAATTTTAAATAACTTATATATAATAATATTTTTTTAATTTGTCAGGTGTGTCTTTTTTATTGGATAAAATTTTTAGGTATAGTACCATAGAAAAAATTTAAAATACATAACACATACTTTATTTTATTTATTTGTTATGAAAAAATATTAATAAAATAAATCAGACCTTATTTATTTGAAGGTCTAAAAGTAAGTACTTTAGGGTTAGGTCAATCTTTTTTATAGAATTTTGATTTTTTGTTACGAGTAATTATGATTAAATTCTAATAATTTTTTAAGTGAAAAAAATTATAAATTAACTGGTTTACGTTAGATAATATTTAAGCAACTGTTTGTTTAAATTTTCTCAATAAAGTTTTGGTTGTTTAATTTAAAGCTTACTTTTGGTACTTACAAAACATAACCTACTCTATGTATATATATTCGGCACTTTCATTTCAACCTCGGCTATTTAATTTATTACATGGAAGACAATCAACAAAAAACAATAATAACAGTTTGAAAGGATACGATTAGGTACATATCAAACACCATCACCATAACGGTCCTTCACTTTGACTTGGAAAAACGGTACCACCGAAGACGGAACTCACTTTTTGAATTTCTTTTAGATACCCTCAAACCTAGAAAGTTTCAAAATCCTTTGTACGTGTACTAATAATAATTTAACATCTTTACATGTTTCACTTCATAATTTGAGTTCTTAAAAATAATAATAGAAATTAATAACGCAAAATTATCCTAGTAAATCATTATAGCTTGCAAAGATTCATTTCAACCTAATACTCCTTTTACTAGTAAAATGTAAGAAGTGGCTAAAATAGCGGAAGATAAACGGCATTGTCGTAGCCCTCTGGACCTTGACGAAAGCGACATGGAGCTTCATTTGAAGTGGAGAATACAACCGTTTTGGCCCAATTCGTTTCCAGAATCTTGAATATCATGAGTAAAGTTTACGATATAATATTATATATATGAATGTGTGTGAAAATCTTTGATTTAATTATTTTAAAAATATATATATTAAAATATTTATAAAAGTTCTCTATAAATAAATAGGCAGTATTCAATAATAATGCATATTCATAATTTATTATTCTAAATGTGATAACTAAATAAAAAAACTGAGTTGTTTTCAGAATGAAGACACATTTCTTTTGAAAAAAAATCATACCAAAGTAAAGAATGAGTTATATAAAACTTGCATGCTCCATTCATAAAACTTAAAAAATGTATCGTTACATAAATATATTAGTATACATCCAATTAACGACTATCGTTTAGGGAAAAAAAATCCAAAATATGCAAGTTTTATCAAATACGTAAGTCTG